CTTGGGTAAGGACACCCTGGCTGCTCACTTCGTTTCCCCTCCCACGTCTTTGATTCTCCTTCTCCTGCCTGCCCAGTGCTGAGCTGGAGCCTGTCACGTCTGACTCTCGCACCGAGGGCTTTCCCCAGCTCCTTGCAGGCACGCACAGGCGGGATCCATGCTTCCAGGGCAGAGGACGTTGTTAAAGAGCCTTTGTGAACTCCCCAAGGTCAGCCAGAACAGACAGCATCCACTAATCCAAGGTCATTTCCTGGGCTAAAAGCAATAAAATGTTTTATTGATAAACTGAAGAGAGGAGAATACGCACTAAATCCACTCTCAGACGTTGTGGGCCATGCCTGGGGTGTTCTGCCTTTGCCCTGGCCCTGCCTAGGGTAATAGACAGGTCTTCATGCTGGAGGGAAAATATTTTCTGGTAGGGGCTGAGCACTTGGCTGCCTTCCCTGCCTCCTCCCAGCATGTGGCTGGGCAGTGCCAGGGCATTGCTCCTTAGAAGCATGTTCCAAATGCTCCACTGGCCTTCTGCTGTGAAGGTTTGGCTCCATTTTAGGGACTGCAGCTCAAGTGTGAAGAGGCTCCAGTGTGCAGCATCCTCACCTCCCACCCCAGCGAGCCATGCTGTCCTCCCTGCTTGGGACTGACTACTGGGCAGACTGGAGTGTCTCCAGTCAAGTTTGCACCACAGTGGTTAAAAAAGAAAAGGACTGTGCATGCATGTCAGCCCTCCTTTCTTCCCCCTCCCCGCCCCAAATAATGCTGTTAATAATTAATCGAATGAGAGCTTGCAGCTCCTGGAAAGCTGGCAGTGGGACCTCCCTCCTGAACGGAGCTGCTCAGCTGGGCTTAAAACTCTTCAATAGGAATATGAAAGCTCCATCTGTTCGACGTACCCGGCCTTGTGAAGTGACAGCGCTGTCCCTCCCCAGCCAGCACCCTCTCCCCCCAGAACGGGCCCTCCTGCCCCGGGGGCAGGGGTCTGCCCTGCACCCCGGCTCTTCCACAGCAGCAAATTCCTGCTGTTACCCTCCACCCATGCCAGCTGCTTCACCCAGCTCCCGTACGCCCTTTTCTCCAGCTGGGACCCTTCCTCCCCTCTGTCACGGTGTGTTTTCACTAACCCCACGCTAAAGCCAGGCTTGGGTTCTCTCCTCCTCTCCCTGCAAAGCTGGACTTATAATCTGTGTAGCAGTTTGCCCCTTGGCTGGGATGGCCCGTTTCTGTCCAGGCTGCAGATCCTTTTGTTCCTGCACACCGTGTGTCCCCCACAGCCCATTTTCTGCCGCGGGGGAGGCAGGGCTGAGCCGTGCCCAGCTTGCAGCACTGCGCTGTGGAGTTGGGTGAGCTGTTGCAGGGCTGCATGGAGGGAGAGAGCCAGGGTGTGCAGGGGAGGTGCTGGCAGCACGTGGGGACCCAGGGCAGGGGGTGAAGCAGGGGCAGCAGCCTGGGCTGACAGGGCAGCAGAATGGCCAGGTGAGCTCTGTGCACCTCTCTGCCAGCCCTGGCTGCAGCAAGGTCTGCCTCTCCTTCAAAGCGAGGATTGCCATCAAGATGCCACCGCGATGGGTACAGAGGGGGGAAGAGCCTGTGTCTCCTCGAAGGGTGTGGAGAGGGGGAAAGAGGAGTAAACTCCCGGTGGCATTGTTTTCAGAGGAAGTGCTCAGTGTAAATAGAGCTTGTGGGAGAGTTTGTCCCGGGCAGAGATGAAAAGTCCCTGTGACAGGATCAGGTTATAAATGGCTTCCTTAGATTGATGTGAAATCAAAACATTTCTATTTAGACGAAGAAAATGAAGGGGGATGTTTACTTAGCCTGGAATCTTTAAACAGTGATTTGGGGTGGGGAGCTCGGCCTGGGGGGAAGGTGCCTCTGCCTGGCTCCTGGGATCCGGCAGTGCCGACCTTGGGCAGATACAAAGATCCCTCATCCAGCAGCTTCTCTCCCTCTGCCCTAGAGAATGAAACACAGGTGCTCTGGTGTCCTCCAACCTGAGGCTCATGTTCAGCATTTCTCTGTAAGGGTTTCCCTTCTGCTCGTGGACTTGACCGCCTAAAAGAAGGGAACAGGAATCTGCCTCCCATTCCATAGACAAGGAAGTAAGGGAATGAAAAGATAAAATGTGTCCAGACTTGGAGAGAGGTGGCTGCAAGGTTGGCAGGAGAAGCTGGAGGTTTTGATTTCCACCTGTATTGGAATAGGTGAGATATAGAGCCTTGGTATTTCAGAGCAAATGCCATTCCAGGAAGGTCTCTGGGAGGGTTAATTCTATAGATCAGGGAAGTGGCATGTTTTCAGAACTTGCTTTATTTTTAGCTTAAACTTTAGGAAAAGATTCTCAAAATGTTAAAGAGAAAAAATCCCAAACAAAAGAAGGGAAAGGAAGGATGCCAAGGGGCAGGGCAGGAGCTGGGGGGGCAGAAGCTGGAGAGGTAGAGGGGCAAAGCCAGGGTGTGTGAGATGGAAGGAGGCAGAGCAGGAATGGAAGACAAGTTGCAGGCTCCCTGGAATTGCTGCATACGCGGCAAGTGCAGCCTCAGGAACGTCTGTTCCTCTTTTCCTTTGAATAAATATTTATATATTCATTTGCCAGCTGGTGCACACACTTGGCTGCTCACCTCCAGACCAGAATAATGGGATCTGCCTTCCTGGCAGAAAGGGGTAGGGCAGTGAGGATTTGGGCTGCCGAACGTGTGCCTCCCAGTTATCTCCAGCTGCGAGCGGTGCTGATCTCAGCAGTTAAGTAGGGCTGGCTATCGTGAGAGCATGGACAGGGAATCACCAGGCAGTGTTTGGGAGAGAGGCTGGTGATTCCGTGCTGACCCAGTGCCCTGGCCCCGGGCAGGCACCGCATGGAGGCTCCGTCCCAGCCACCTGCAGCCAGCGGGGCTCTCCTGGCCCTTGGCCTGAGCCCACAGGCGTGAGCTGTAGGTGTCCTGGCCAGGCTCCACTTGGAGCTCACAGCAGCCTCCTGATATTCCCTCTGTGGTACCAGTTGGACATAGGATCAGCCTTCACTTTGTGCCCTAAATAGTGGGAATGCAATTGGAAGGGGGGGGGGGGGGGGGGCTGCCAGCAAATAAAGACTTGCAGCTTTATGGGCATCTGCCTGTGCCCATCTGTATGTGCGAGGGCTGCAGGCTTGTGTTGGGGAATGTGTGAAAAAAGGAATGCGTGGGGGAAGGCACAGGAATGTATTTTGGGGAGATGGGACTTCTTAACCTGTACATGTAGGACTGTGTTTACGGAGTGTGCCAGCGCATACACACAGCTCTTTGAACAGCTGTAATTTCTAGATGGGGAGGTACGTGTTTGGGAGCATCGTGTGCTTTCCCTCGGTGAAAGCATGATTGCACGTAGGTGTTAGTGCCGGGGGGTGCCTTTGGAAAGTGGAGGAGTACATTTTGCCTCCCTTTGTGTGGGGGGCTGATATATTTGTCGGGGGGTTATTTTTCTTGCAGTCCTTGACAGGGAAGCGTGTCTGAAGCTGTCAGGAGTTTACGCTAAGCAGCCATTCTCTGGCTGTTGGACAGCAGGTCTAAAGTTTCAGTCTGTTTGTATTGGGCTGTCATGTTACGGGATTAGGGGCTGTCACAGTGGCTTCTGGGTGCATTGTAGGGGGTCTGATTAATCTCACTGTGCTTCTGTGGAGCAGCACCTCTGTGCTGGTGACAGGGAGGTGTGAGCTGAGCTGCCACGAGGGAGTCCTGTGCAGTAGAGGAGCCCATTCTCATCATTTGAGGTCTGGAGACATGCTCTGTTTGCTCTACATGTGACTGGCCCCTCTTTCAGCGCAATGTAAAATCCAAGACCCCCTTTTGGAGGGACCTCCACCTCCAACCATATCCCCACAGTAACTCTTGTGGCATGTGTGACCAGCAGGTGTTTTGTTGAGCGCTCTTCCTGAGCCCTGGATTGCAGGGCAGGGTCTGCCTTGGCTCTGCTCTGGGGGAAGAGCCAGGCTGTGTGCCCATTGCAGTCCTTTAACCCTGCTTAGTCTGGGCATCTCTCAGAGGTATCAGAAGTAAAGAGAGAAATGAGACAATGCAACTGCTTTAGAATAATTATTTTGCTTTTACTTGGGATTGAACCTTGTTAATTGTTGGTGCAATAATTATGCAAGTGACTCTGACAGAGACCATTTAGTTCAAGATTCTCCATGACCTTGAAGTTAAGACCTTACCTTCTTCCTCTCTCCCCCCACCTTCTCTCACCCCTCCTTTACTAGCTGTCACATATGAATAAACTACATTAAAATAACAAACTCAGACTAATTAGCTGATTGTGCTGGGAAGTATGAGAGCAGAATTTCCTGTGTGCGAGACTGAGCAGGCAAAGGGGCCTGATCAGCCAGTACCAGCCCACAGTGATTTTCTCCATACTACTGTGACACACCAGTCTAGTTGTGGTGCTCCAGCACACACACTTTTCCAGGGCTCCTGTCCTCCATACTGGTTCTTTTAGGTGCATACTGGTTCTCTTCTCTGAGACTATGCACAAACTCTTTTGGGTGAATTCCTCACTGTCCATAGGGTTAGGCTTGGGAAGCTGTTGTCCTCGCTGAGATGCTGGGGTGCAGTTGCTGGCTGGTGTGGTTCTGGCACCCACTACATCCGGGATAGAGCTAGGGACCTGAAGCAGGTGGTGCTGCAGTCTGAAGGAGGGGGCAGTCCAGGCTTTTAACAAACTGCTACCCTGCCTCAGCCAGGAGCAAAGGTTGGTGCCACGCTCACCTGCCTGGGATGTTTGGGGTCTGTCAAAGCCAGTTCTGTCCCAGCACAAATTTCTAGTGGCCAGTGGCATATTTTGGTCCCAGCAGATTCAGAGGATGCTTCTCACCGAGCTCTTCTGGTTGGGCTTCCACTCAGAGCTTAGGAAGCACATAGTAGCTCCACCTTTCCAAGGATGAGAGCCCCGTGGGTTGGCACCATGCTTTTGCTGTTTGGGTTCAAGTTGTCTGATCCCACTAATGCCCTTCCTTGCTTCTTTCTCCTCTCTCTTCCTAGCTGAAAGAACTATATGCACTGACGCAGCCTCAGGAAAACCCGCAATGGCTGCCAAGCGCAAAGGCGGCCTGAAGCTAAATGCCATCTGTGCCAAGCTGAGCCGCCAAGTCGTCTTCGACCACGGGGGAGCCGAGCAGGCACGTGCGGACAAGGGGCCACAGCAGGAGAGCAGCAACAAGGACCTGCCCCAGCCTGGGACCAAAGAGCTGGGGACAGAGTTTTCAGATGGACTCAGCTGCGTGCAGAAGATCGAGGAGGACAAAAGGAGGGAGGTGATCGAGAAGTGGGTGAACGGGGAGTACAATGAGGAGCCCTTGCTGGGGCGAGCAGAGGGCAAGGAATGTAAGAGCACCGAGAGCCCAGAGGTGCCCCCTGAAGGGGTTTACATGGTGCAGCCCAAGGGCTGCAGCGACGAGGAAGATAACGGGGACGAGGCAGACGCTCTGAGGGGCTCACAGGATGGCAACTTCTTGGATGACAGGGATTCAGATGGGCCAGCAAAGGACGATGCCTACCGGTCCTCCAGTGGCGAACCAGGCTCCAAGCTGGGGGCAGGAACCACCTCAGGTAAGCCCTCTGTCCCCTCCATTTCCTGACACAGGACAGCTTCAGAGTTACATTTTCTGTGTCCATGGCAGGTCCTGCAGCACTGGCAGCCAAGGGGAAGAGTGAGAGCCCTGAGCCCCTTGCAGAGGCCTGTCATTTTGCTCTTGAGACCATAGGGAGTTTGCCTCTGGCTTAGCCTCCCCTTCCCAAGAAGGGTGGTGTGAGGGTGGATGTGGCTGGATAGTTCTTTCCAGACCACAAATCCCTGGGTAGGGACCGGACCGGGCGGGACGGGAGCAGTGGCTGGGATGAAGGTTCTGGAAGGAATGGCCATTCCTCCAGGGACTGGACCGGACCGGGGGAGCCTGCGGGAGGCTGAACTGAGCCAGGGCAAGGCTGGGATGGTCCCTAGAGAGGCACCTCACAGTGAATCTCATGATCCCTTCCTGCTGCTCTGTGGTGCCTCAGCCGGGCAGAGGGGCTGAGGTGATGCTCGTGTCATGGTGCTGCCTCCCCTCACGAGGGGCCCAGTCCTCGAGCTTTGCCCACCCTGAGCTCAGCATCGAGCTGGTGAAAATGCCACTTCCAAATCAAAGTTTCCCCCCCCATCTCATGTGTTCTTCCTCTGGCTGAGTGTTCCCTATTTTCAGATTGCTTCTACTTCATTTTTGTGGTTCATTCAAAAGCTGAGGTCAACAAGAGATGTTGGGGAAAGCCTCAGATGAATTTCTTGCTCCCTTTCTGATACCCAGGTTCCCCCCAGATTGATTTGAGGGGGTGTATGAGTGCTAAGCCTTGATAAAAGCTTTGGGTGAATTGAATTCTCTCCGTTAGGGCAGAGCAGCTCCCTCCCCATTTGTCACTCAGTTGGGCTGGATCTGTAATTGAAAGATCTTCCCTTAATCTGCTCCACCTGCACGCACCCCTCCCCTGATCTCAGCACTTTGCGAATCCATCAAACTTTCCTCCTTTTGTGTGTGCGCATGTTTTCCTCCTCCTGTTAATAATGCAGCTGAAACTCATCTCCGTCTGTCCGTTCCCCTTCTGGAGAGGCACATTCTCTAGTCTTCACGAGTTCAGTGGCAGCGCACATAATTATGCATATAAGATATAAACAGAGCTGTTTAATTATCCTTCGCCACATCAGTGACAGAGTAATTAACAAACATTGCAAGATCAATGAGGGAAAGTGTGACCTTCAGTTTCCTTTGATAGGAAAGCCCTTGTCGTTCCCAGACACAAGGTGATTGTGCCTGGACTCTGGTTTAGTTTGTTTTAATTCACACCACTCAACCCCACCTCACCATTTGCAGCTTTTATTTGCTATAAAAACTAAAAGGAGGGGAACTTAAATGTAAAAAAAAAATGTTCCCAAACTAGAGAAAATGAAAAGAAGCTGAGGTTTTTCACTGGGGGAAGAGATTTAAGTAAAATACTTTTGCAGGGCTGTATTGTCAAAGGATTATGCAAAAATGGGTAACTTTGGGAAGGGAGGGGGGTAGCTGAAGCTTCATTTATGTCTAAGGCAGGTAATGGCACATGAGGCGTCCAGTTTACATATAGAACCACGTGGGATTTGACTTGCAAACAGACGTGCTGCTGTGTCTTGAGCGTCTGCTTCAAGAACCTTGTTAAAAATGTCATTTGCAACATTTCCCTGAAAGCACAAGAAACATCCCTTGTCTTGGAAAGGACAAAGTTATTTTCCTTTACTTTCTCTGTCAGTGTTCAGGAAATGAATTTTCAGCTGTTCATCACCAAGTCCTCTCAACACCTGACGTTACTGAATGTGAACTAAACTTATTCCAATGAGATTTGGAATTTCCTCTGTCAAAAAGGAAGAATTTTTTGGTGGGAGCTGGGGGGTCGCAGGAGGCAGATGAAAGGAGAGGATACAGGTCTGCCCCCCCAGTCAAAGTGGGAGTCATCACAGAAACCTTGATTTGAAGAATCTGAGCAGCACTTGCTCCCCATGAGAACAGAGGGTACAGGGCTGACAGTGCTGAGCAGTGTTTAAAGCTGAGCCCACACTTGGCTCAGCTGGAAACTTGTGTGAAAAGCAGGAGCCACACAGAAAACCAAATCCTACATCTAACGGGCTTTCTTGGTCAGTGGGAAAAGTGATCCTAATTACATGGGGATGAGAAGGGTTTCTGCTTCCCAGAGTCCTGGTGTGCACACATATTGTCCACTTCCTCCGGATTCAGCTAGTGCCCATGTCTTCCACCAGTACCTCTCGTGCTCTGTTGCCAAATCCTGGCCACCTTTGTGTCCTTCCAGGCTGACAGCAAGGCTTGTTGTGCATTAGGCAGAAGTTCACGGAGACTCACTCAATGCTATTCAAGCCTCATGCTTTGAAACAAGATGGAGTTTCTTTTCCAGCCTCCCCTGGGAGAAACAAGACTAAGGAGTGGGTGCTCAGTCTTGCCCTGTGTGCCTCCTGCCTGGTCCACCTGGGAAGCACGCTGAGGAGTCACAAAGCTGGTGTCTGTCAGGAGATGGGTGTCAGAAGCTGATCTGGATGTGCAGATGTGTTTGTTCATTCATTCAGGCACCCTCTCTTGCCCACTGACCGGCCCATGCTTCTCTGTGCACATTTATATATAGCAGTGAGATTTCTCGGTGCGGTCACTGACACAGATCCCTTTCCACAGTCGCTCACTGACGCACACACACCCAGGCAGATTTTCCTACACATGTTCCTCGCTTTGCCTGTTACATAGTGGGCTAAAGCAGTCGGAGTAGGAGCTTCCCCCTGTACAAGCTTTTGGATCTGCCTTTCTTAGCTTCTTGGCTACGTCTCTTGGAATATTCATTGTCCCTGTTTTCAACCAGGAGAGTTTTCTCTTCCTAATTTCCTGGGGAGACTTCACTTAGGAGAGCATACACGCCAAGTGCCAGTTTCTCGCTCATCATCCTGTATCCCCCAGGTCTATGTATTTTCCCTCCCAAGCAGAATAAAGGACAAAGCCCTGGCTGGGATGTCCCATCCCCCAGTACCCAGACCTTGCACTCCATTTGGGCTGTTTTGCTTTTCCTTCCATATATAGTGTGCTGCTGCAGGCTATTTTTAGCGCCTTTTTTGCTAGCTTCGGATCCTTTGTGATATGATAGCTGCTCTGAGACACACAGATCTCTGCTCTTTGGCAATGCCCACAAATGGAGAGCAGCGACAAGGGGAGAGGGAGCCCTTTATTATCACACAGGAAAGGAGAGGAAAATGCAGTGCAGGGAAGGGGGAGGAAGACACAGGGATAATGCTTCCTGTGGCTTCCAGGAGTCCTCACAGGGAGTGTTTCCCAATGGTTGTCCTGCTTCATTTTTGTCTGTTTGTGGAAAAGAGGAGGGTTTTCTGTCAGTTAGGTAATATCAATTACCTCTTCACCGTTGTCTGAAAGTGTACGTGAAGTGAGGTGGCTGAAACTCATACGATCCTTCTGGAGAGCCAGCTCCCTTCTGTAGCAGGGTGCCTCTGCTGGAGGAGCCTCTGTCCTTCATATTGGGTGCCTGAGCAATTAAATGCACGTTGTCTTAACTTCAGGGGACGTGTTGGGTTTGTTGGGCTCATGCTGGATGAGTAGAGCTGCAGTTCCTGGCAGTGAGCAGTGGGAAGTGGCCACAGCATTTGAGAAATGTGGGTGAGGAAAGACTGAGCAAACACCAGCAAAGCAGGGAGGGTGTTGTGATCATCTGGAACCAAATCTGAGCAAAGGAAAAGCAGAATTCAAGATGGGTTTGGGGATTAAACCCATGACAGTGAAAGCTGAGCTCAGACTTCACAAAGCTCAGAAGTTCTGGACCATCCCCCTTCCCCTTTCCCATAGGCTTGGATTTTGCATCTGTTTACCCAGCTGAGGTATGGCCACATGGTACCAAAGATGGGGCACACTGGCTTTCAGGGCAGTGGCTAAAGCTAGCAGAAATCACATTTAATAGTTTCATTTTGTATCAGATCCTTAGTGTGGTATTCTTTTTCCCCTTGCAGCTTGACACAAGCTGGCTAGAGTTTTTCTGTGCAGTCCTTGGAAATCAGAGCATTATGAGCAAAGCTGGGGGTTGTTTTACTGGTCCAAAAAGAAAGGAAAAGCAGAACAGGGAAAGCAGGTTTAACAGAAACAGGAAATTGTTAGACCCAGTAGGGATTTCATGGGTTCATTCTCTTCTGTTGGGTCATAGGGTTATACTGAAATGGAAGTGGGGAAAAGAAAAAAAAGAGGTGAAGAGGAGAACTGCTTTAAAGCAGAATGATTTTTTTTTTAATATGCTGTGTGTGAAAGATAAAGTCGTCCTTCCGGCAAGTCTTGTTGCTGGACCTAGTGAGGAATGGTTCTGCATTTAACATCCTGTAAGATTAATACCAACCCATGAGGTTGTGCTATGCCCTGAGCCTGACACCACAGGGGCATTGCCACCCATTCTGTGATGAGCAGGGTGTTTATTCTGGAGTCAGGCATCCCAAATCCCATGCAGAATGCTGGGCTTGGAAGTGCCTGGAACTGGAAGGTCATTTTGGGCTAAAGCAGATCCCTGCAGGTGTGGCTTTGCCCCTTGCCTTGCAGGCTCTGGGCGTGTTCTTCACATCGCCTTCCCCCAGAACCACGTACACAGGGAGCCAGTGTAGCAGCACTTCTGCTGCAGTAAAACAGCTATTCCAGGCAATCCTGGAGCAGGAATGTGACCTTCATGGTCTTGCCCATTTAGTGCCCGTCACAGGCAGTCTTTTCCTCCATAGAGTCCTGTGAAAACTGATTTGTGGGAGCTGATGGCTATTGAACTTGGACTGTGCTCATTGACAGGCTCTTGCGTGCACGGAAACGCTCTCGTGTACGTGCCTGCCTGTGCAAGTGGCATCACTGGCTGTCAGATTCCCACTTCTTAGGAATCTTTTGGATCTACTGACCTGTTCCCTAGAAGCATCTTGATGCCTTCCTTTTCCACTGTGTTTCAAGGCAGTGTTGCTTTGTTTTGAGTGGGACCCCATGCCCAGAACTTCCCTTCTGCTGCCAGTGTGCCTCCCTGTGCTGGCTGCCTGGGAAGGAATGTGCTTGCCCATTAGAGCCAGAGCAAGTGTTGAGTAAAGATGATGAGGGAGGTTTGAAGGACTCCTGCACACAGTAAATCTTTACTCTGCAGTAGAAAGCAAGAGGGAGAGGAGGAGGAGGAGCGCTGTGTCAGACTGAAGCCTAAACGAGGCCAAGCCGGCGCATCAGAGCACTCTTTATTTCCTCCTTTACACTGATATTGGGTGACCTCCAGATGTGTGTTCATCCCATCATGGTGGGCTGTGAAACTGCCTGAGGGAGTAGGGGAGGGAAGGAGGGAGGGAGAGACCCAAGGAAGGACAGCTTTTGCTCATCCTTCCTCCCTTTAATCAAGCTCCATGGAACTAACCCCTTCCTGCCCCTTCCCCAGCCCATGCTCCGGAGCACTGGCTTTCTCCCCCTCCCTGGAGCCCACATCAGGACAACAGCTTTCTCTCCTCAGTCTAAATCCTGATGGAGGGAAGGCTGTTCCTTACCTATTTTTCACCTGTGTGGACTTTCCTTTTTCCTGGTGTTACTGGAAGCTGTTCCTGGCTGCTTGAGAGGCTGCCTGTAGGTTTCCATAGCATTCACTGGACTGTGGCCCTTTTCCACATGGCAAGTAGTAGCTGCCCATTTACAGGAATTGAGATGGAGGAGAGCAAGCTGAGTGAATCCTTACAAAATTGACAAGGAAGGGAAAGGAAGGACTGCAACAGTGATGGGGAACTGTCCTGTCTTTGTCTTGCCTTCTGCTCTCCTTCCTGCACTCCTCATTGCCAGGTTTCTCGTGCACACAGCCTTTGCTGCTCTTCCCCTGCCTTGATTCATCTCCACCTCTGCTGCTTTCCTCCTCTCTGCACTGTTCTATTCTGCCCTCCTCCTGCTCCACCCCATACATTGCCTTGCCCATCTCCCTTATCCATTTCACACCATCCTGTCCTGCCTTCTCTCAGCCCTGCTTGCTCTTCACCAACACACACAGCATTTTCACATGGGTTTTCCCCCTTACACATGCTGCCATCTATCCTCTGTGCACCTCCTTCCATACACAAATATACACAAGGACAGATCTGTACAAACCTTGGCATATTGGCATTGGTCTCACTTCCAGTAAAATTACTTTTTCTTCATATTAGGCCAAGGCAAGAGTGCAGAGACATTTATGAAACTTTGTTTAATGTACTGAAAAGCCATCGGCTAGAACATTTAGGAAATTGATTTTCCTGGCATTGATGAACTCTTTTTATTTTACCCCAGTATTAATTACTTTTTTTTTAAACAAATTAATTTAAGAGTCATAAAACCTAACAAGTGAGCCAAACGTCAGTAGATCATGTTCCCCTCTCCCCTTCCTCCCCCCCCACCCACTGCTAGTGCTGGTATGGGAGGAGAAGAAAAATCAGTGCCTTGAGTGACTCTCTCCTCTGGTTTCACTGCAGGGGAAGCTTCATCACTGCGGGATTACGCCGCCACCACCATGAACGAGTTCCTGGGCATGTTTGGCTACGACGACCAGAACATGCGGGACGAGCTGGCGCGCAAGATCAGCTTCGACAAGCTGAACGCTGCTACCTCAGAGGCCACCGCCGCCGCCGCCGCCGCCGCCTCTCTCCCCGGCGAAGATGCCATGAGCAAACGAGCCCGCTTCTCCAAGTACGAGGAGTACATCCGCAAACTGAAGGCTGGAGAGCAGCTCTCGTGGCCCATGCACTTGGCCAAATCTGAGGAGTTGGGCTCCAAGCTGGGAAAAGAGCCGTCCTCAGTGCTGGCACAGCCCATTCGCGTGCCAGGTCCAGACGCCTCCATGCTGACGGAGACCAAAGCCACCATCCTGCCACTGCCCTCTCCCAGCAGTTCCCAGATGCAGGGCCTGATGTCACGGGCCTCCAAATACGACTTCTTCATTCAAAAGCTGAAGACGGGTGAGAGCATCAGGCCACAAAATGGCAACACTTACAAGAAGGCCTCCAAGTATGACCTAGAAAATGTCAAGTACTTGCACCTTTTCAAGCCTGGGGAAGGAAGCCCAGATATGGGAGGAGCCATCGCCTTCAAGACAGGCAAGGTAGGCCGGCCTTCCAAGTATGATGTGAGGAACATTCAGAAGCTTACTCCAGTCAAAGCTCCAGTCCCCAGCCTGGCCCCTGCTTCCCTCACCAGTACCCCCAGCAGCACTCCGGTGGCCGGGCCAGAGCAGTCCATCTCATTGCCATTCAACACTCCTGAGTACCTGAAATCAACTTTCTCCAAGACAGACTCCATCACAACTGGAACAGTCTCTACAGTAAAGTAAGTGTACTCCCACTTTTCTTACCTAAGTACCAGTGGGGGATCATACCATAAGTCTGTGTGTGGTTCAGTGGGCAATTCCAAGTTCTTACCCTGTTAAATACTGCATTGTTCACGGGATGGTTCTCTTTGCTCTCTGTCAAAGTGTCTGCTCCTCTTTTATACCTTACATCTCTATTTATCTGGTCTGCACTAAGGCTGTGACCTGCCATCAGCAGTTATGGCCATGAATCTGGAGTCCAACAGGTCCTGAGTTCATATGTTAAAATGAAAGAGGAGGGAACATGGTACTGTCAGCACTCTTAGGGTCAAGGCTGGAAATACTTTATTTTCTTCTCTCTCTGGTTTCCCAGGCATCTGGATGTGTCTGCAGGAGAACCTGATTCTTGTTTCCGTTTAACTAAAAGGCATGACTCTGCTGACTTTACTGTTAGCAAGACGGGGCTTTTTGTTTGTCCCAGAACTCAGAAGACATTTTGGTGCCTAATTCTCATCAATTTCCATAGGAGTTAGGCATATACCTACTTCTGTGGGGCCAGGCCTGTGTCTTCTCAATTTGCTTACACAAACAGAGGTGATTCAATTACCCCTCAGACTGGGCAAACTCATTAGCCCAATTACCACTAATAACCTCCTGCACATACATTGCCAGCAGTCTCTGCAGTGATGCCATTGACTGAATGGAGGTATCTGAAGGTCTTGCCAAATCTTGGATTACTTTTTAATGTACCTTCCAGAGGTGGGAGCTGTAGAAGAGATTCATATGTCAGGCTACAGCTGGGAGGAAGGAGGAAGGCAGAGACTTCTGTGCTTTCTTGTCATGGTTTGGGTTTACTTGTTTCTCACTGTGAATCTGGGCTGTTGTGAGCTCTGAATCCCATGAGGTCATTTGTAGTAAGTCCAGGGCCTTCTGTCCTGCCCTCTGTGCCATCACACACACCCTACTGCTTGGTCCTCTGATGAGGAAAAAGGCTGGTTTGTGTTTGGTATGTGGTTGTAGAAGGCCTTGAGCTTGCTTGAATGTTCTCTGCAGTCCCAGCAAAGTCTGCATCACCCACTTGCCCTGTTTGCCCATGTGGAAGGCAGAGCCATTTAATGATACCTGTCTTCCATGTGAAATGGTTGTTCATCAACTGCCTGCAGACAGATGGGGAGCTCCATGGTAAAGGTGTATGGGAAAGGACAGAGGATTATTAACATCTGCATCTGCTCAGGATGCTCAGGGTCCTGCTCAGGATGGACCTGTGTGTGCTACAGATGACAGGCAGGGACTCCTATTACTTAAAAGCACAGTGGTGTAAATATTCCTGGAGACTCAGCACCCTGTAGTGATGGTGACTTGGTCCGAGACTGTGCCTGAAGTGTCTTGAGAACATTCCAGCTGCCTGGGGCTCAGCTGCCATCCTAGAGCTGTGCCTAAAGGCGCAAGCAAGATAAGCAAGCCTCTTATCTGCTGTGTTGTTGCACTGGGATCCCAGTTTGTTTTCCTTTCTCTTGCTTGTTTTCCTGCCTCTTGCCAGATGTGGGTTTGCCAGCACCATGGTGAGCCTTCCTCTGGCCACAGGATTTCCTCAACCAGGGCATCATGATGAGGCTGCAGCTGGAATGGAGGTGACCATGGCCTTCAACCTGGCACTTCGTGTGTCCTGATCACACATTGCAGTACAGAATGGGCTCTGGTCCCTTCTCCTTCAGGCTACTCACTAGATAGAGGCTTCCATGAGAAAAGGCAGCAGCCCATTAACTGTGCTGGTGAAGGAAGTGCTGACTGCAGTATCTGGGCCGTGGCTTCCCAGTCCCAGTCCCCACTGGGTTCAATAACCTGGCAGGAATTACCCTTTACTCTCACACATCTGCACATACACCCTTGCCATGGGTTTAAACTCTCTTAGATCCAATGCCATTAACCTGCCCTGAACTCGTCTACCTTCAAGTGAACTCTGTGCGAAAGTGTCCTTGTTTAAACCAGGGTGCAGAGCTGCAGGGAGGCGGAGGGGAGGCTGGGCAAAGCACACAGAGAAGATGGTGTGCAGCCTGTCTGGAGGTGCACTGGGGTGGCCCTATCTCTTGGGTAGGCTGGAGTCTGGCCCTGCATCTAATTTTCCTTCTTCCTGAACTCACTAAGGATGTTATTTTTATCTGCTTCCTAACGATGTAAAATAATCCAGGCTTATGTGACAGTTGGGGTGGTTTTCTCATTGATTAAAATACATAATCTGTCGGTTAGAATTTTGGGGTATCTATGAACCAAAGAGGCATTTTAAGCCCCATTCAGGGGCTGGAGCCACTGTTCCAGTGCTGGTCATAGAACAGCAGGGATGCTGGCCACAGGGAAATGGGCAATAGCTCACAACCTGGCTGGCTGAGAGACTCCTCTCCTGCAGCTGAGCCAGGGGCAAAGCTTCTGTGCACACAAGGGCAGAACTGCCAGGTGCCTCAGAGAGGTCATTGCATGTGGCCATCACTTTTTTGTATAGGCATTTTTTTCTGTAGAAACAGGTTTTTGTGGTTGATCTTCTCACTTTCTCCAACAAACTGCTCAGAGTCCTGCAAAGAAGGAGCATGCAGGAAGGGTGGTACACAGCCTATGTGTCCCTGGGAAAAGAAGGTACAGGATTTGAAGAGCAAAGGGGAGGGAATTTAAACTTATGGGTGTCTTTGCTGGTACCCTTCCCTGGGCCCTCTCTGTCAGCAGTGTGTGAGAGAAACAAGGAGTTTAAGCTGTGCCCTGTTCCTGCTAACCAGCTCTGCCCTGTGTGTCTCCCCTTAGGAATGGATTACCCACTGACAAACCGGCCGTCAGCGAAGACGTAAATATTTACCAGAAGTATATTGCCAGGTAGGCAAAACTTTTGACTTTGCTGGGGAGAGGGCTGGGAGTAAGAAGATGGAGTGGTGGTGGGAGAGACAAGGTCTTGTCTGGATCAAGTGTTTAAACCAGACATTGGCACTTCCATTTCCCGTGTCATCTGTACTCGCTCTGTCCCCCTGCCTGGGAGAGCAGCAGCTGTGAGAGGTACACAGTCATGCCAAGAGCATGCTTAGCTCCCTGGAGCTGTTAGACTTTGTGACAAATAGTGGAAAACTGCTTCACTGAAGAAGCCCAGGATTTAAATGGGAGTTCTGCTTCTTGGCTGTTGTTCTTTCTGTCCACTGCCTTTTTCCCCTACCATGTCTGCAGGAGGCAAGCAGAGAGCATCTCAGCTCTGAGAATCTCGGCCAGAGAGATTCACAAGTGACTTGAGTTTAGGGAGCTCTTGGCATCAACATGGGATGTTTATCCTAGGAAATTTTTGCAGCTCATTTTTCTGAGAAATCCTCTCTGAATCAGGTGCAGAGTAGGGCACCTTACCACAGCTGTGGGCATGCTTAGGTCAGGACAGTGATGCTGAGAGGAAGCCCAAGGTTGTTGTGGTGGGACAAAGTGAATAATGCCCCAAGAGCCAGAGGGACAGAGGAGATGATTGCATAACACCTGCCTGGTTTAGAGCTCATGGCATAAAGGGTCCACCAGGCTCTGCCCCCAGCCAGCTGAATCCTCCATGTGAGAAGGCTCCCAACAAAAGCCCCTTGTATCCAGACAGACATGAGGGAAGCAAAAGCTTCTCTCCAGGGAAAAACTGGAGGGTTTGCTCCCACCAGCACTTGGGCACCTATTAATGAAAGGGGAAGGGAGTGTGTACTGTGCTTTCCCACCTTACCAGAGCCCACAGAGGGTCTCCTTGTGGGAGACAGTCAGCTGCTGGGAAAGTAAAGGGAACATTTTGGCAGGGAAAAAGAGTGGGAACAGCACTCTCCTAGCTCAAGCATGGAATGACAAGGGACTTAATTTCCTGCCTTTTGCCCAAATCCCAGATGTAGGAGAAGGGGGCAGAAAACCCCATGGGAAGAGAGGGCAGTTGTGCCACCACAGGCAGCTCCTCAAGCAGCAATGCCTCAAGTGCATGTGGGAATTGACTGCCTCAAGGGACAGTACAGTAGTAGAATATATAGAATATAGGAAGGAAAGCAGGGGTTTAAACTCACGTGCTGTGTTTGTTTACCCTTATCCCAGGTCCAGAAGGAGCAGCATCCTTTTATTTCTGAGATTGCAGAAGTTGTAGGAATTGCAGTGGGAGAGGAGGTGGCACCTTTCTGTCCCTCATTCCCCTCTCAAGCAGAGAACTGTAAACACTTCAGCCACATCCACTGCTTTTGGAGCTGTGCAAGCCCCTTTCCCTGGGTCAGGCAGGTAGCTGAGAGAGGATTGTGAGCTACCTCAGGGACACCACATCCTGCTTAAAAGGCTCCGCAAGCCACCCGTTGCCAGCACAGCCACTTCCCTTCAATTTACACACATTTAAAAAAAAACAGTTTAAAGCCTTAAAATCAAGGGGTGGGGGGAGAAGAGACACAGCACTCTTATGTCTGTACTGCATAATTAGCTTAATGAGTTTGCCAAAGCCACTGCCAAAAGCTGCCCAGGGATAATCCATTCTCTCACACAACAAAACAAAACCTCTTACTTAGCTAGTTTGGGTTGGGTTGTTTTTCCCCCTCCTCCTCCCTGTATATTTATAATTAAAAAAAAAAAAAGACCACAGAAAAAATTATTATTATTATTATTAGTGCCTCAGCAGATGGTGCTTCTGGCAGCACTTGCTTAAATATTTATTTCTGTGTGGGTTTCCTCCCCCCTTGTAATTGGGGTGGGTTTTTTTTTTTCTTCTTTCACATCATCGTTACAGAGTAATGAGTCTGTAAACACTCTCTAAGCATGCTGACTTCTTTATTTATTATTTTTATTATTATTTATTTATCAACTCTTGCCAGATCAAGACTTTCTGGCAAAAGAAAAAAAAAGGTGAACCGATTAATGTGAAGGAAGAGGGAGTGGGTTGTTCTTGTGCAATTGCATCTATGTGTCTGTATTGACAACTTAGGAGTTTGGATTTGTTTATCAGTGTGATGAGCTGGTCTGTGAGTTTCTTGTTTCAGGTGTGTGTGTTTGTGTCTGTTTCCATATGCATGGAAATTTACGTTCAAGTAAGTTCAGGGGGTGTGGATGTACTGTAGAGTCTGTGCATGTAAATGTGTGTGTGTGTGTGCATGTAAGTGTGTGGTGTGTGTAAGCTTTCCTGTTATGAAAAACCTAAACAGATGCTGCGCTTTAAAAATTAATAGCTTTGAACTGTTTCAAGTGTCAGAAGAAACACAGGATAATATAACCCTTTAGGAGCCCAGCCTTGTGCACTGAAGGAGCAGAATTTCCCCTTTGTGCTGGGTTTGCCACTTCCCTCCTTCCCCCAGCCACGGCTTGGTGGAACACTTGTTTCTCCCTTCCAGTGCTGTAGACACCACACACACACCTTTCCATGGCACATGGTAAGGAGGATAGGAGTTGGGAGTGCTGGAGTGCTTGTTTGGCTGTTGTTTTTAAAACTGAGTCCATGTGTCATTCCTGCTAGGGTGCCTCAAATAACTCATCTCCTGGAGTCAGGTCTTGTTGGTGTCTGGCCCTTCTTTTACTCCAGCTGGTATCTCTGGTCACTTTGCATCCTCATTTTTGATAATAATTTGAACTGCTTTATATTTGTCAGCAAGGTCTGTATCATCCTCCTCTCTGCCTGGCCTGCACCGCACAGGTCTCCAGCCCTTTTCTCTTTTTTCCCCATCACATCAGTGGAATAGAGAGGAAGCTTCCCACAGGGCACTTGCTTTCCTTGAAGAGCTGCTGGTGGTGCTGCTGACATAAAGCCCTGGACTAGCAGGACCAGTTGGTTACGTGTGCTGTGGAGCCACATGTCCCTGGTCAGTGCCACGGTGGCCCTGGTGGCTGCCCTGGACAAGCTGAGCAGTCACCCAGGCGTTGAGCAGGAATCTCTTCCTCTGCTCTCGGTTCCACACCTTTGTTTGTGCAGCCAGCCCTGCTGTTTGCCTTGTGGTTTGTTTCTTCTCTGCTGCTGAGGTTTGTTCCAGTTTCTCAATCACCTGTTCTGACGTGATCCTGATTTCCTGCAGTATTTCTTCTCCTTCCCCAGGGAAAGGCATGTCTGCTCCTGGCATCTGTCCCTGTCTCCCTTTGTGAATGCTGAGGCAAAGAAGTCATTTAATTTTTTAGCAATGTCTATCTTTTCTGTCAATTAAGTCCCCTTTCCATCTCCTAGAGGCCCTGCTGTCTCCACAGTTGACCTCCTCTTCCTTACTGTGCTTCAGAAATGGCTTATTTAGTGTTGCTTTTCATCTAGACTTTTTCTATCCCATAGCCTTGCGTTACCTCACCTTACTATGATCTGTAATCTTCCCTGCTCCTGCCCCATTCCTCAGTTGCCCCAGGACACCCTCAGTCCTCTCATTTTCCATTTTTATCTGCTGCCCTTCCTCATTTCTTTCCCATGCCCTTTATCATATGCACTCCTGCTGTGTTTAGCACTTAAGTGACGTGAGGAACCTTTGAGGAACCTTTGAGCAGATGGTACTTTATCTTTGAATGTTTCCCCTCTGAGTCCCCTTCTCTCCACTGCTCTTCCCTTTCAAGCTCTTCTAGGGTCCTCTAGAATATACACAAGGGAGTTCATTGCACTGATTACCCGATTACTGGATCATCCCTTTGTGCCAATTCCTGGTGTGTCTGTCAGTCAATAAATTCTGCATACTGACTGTTTGTATGTAAGGTATTACACAACAATTCTGTCTTTCTGGTCTTTTTTGCCACCCTGTATGTCAGGAGTTTTCAAATTTGCTGTATGCAGCTTTTCTGATATCCTACTAGGTGGGCTTATACTTAAAATTTAGGATCCATATTTGCCCAACATTTTTTTGTCTCCTTCTGTCACGGGAGGTTTCTGAAGCTTGCTGGTGTGGTATGTAAACTCCATTCTAGAATTGTGTGGTGTTTAGTTCTAGGAACCCTCCTTCCTTATGCTTCCCCAAGTAAACAACTTAGATAATGGAGATGAATTTCTAGAGGAAAGACAGATTAGGGATGTACAGGACCTGAGTGATCCGGCTCAAGAAGCACCTTTAAATAGTGACAAATAAGCAAGAGAAGGCACAAGGGTCACCATCCTTGGAGGGGATAAAGGAGGTGGGGTTTAATGCCGTAAACATGTGAGATAAAAGCAGGAACAGGACTTAGTTTGTTTGTACCTTGCTTACAGGCATTGCTGCCAGGACAGTGGTTTATTGTCTCTCCCTCCCTCCTGTTTGCAGGTTCTCTGGCAGTCAGCACTGTGGACACATACACTGCGCCTACCAGTACCGGGAGCATTACCACTGCCTGGACCCCGAGTGCAACTACCAGGTACAGCAACGCGCCAAAGAGCAGCACGGACGGCGTGCGTCCTCCTGGGCTCCCCTCTCACATCCATGCACATGCCTTTTCACTTTGCTGCTCTGAAAGAGGACAGGACATGTTCTGGATTTAACAGAACTTTATTTTGCACCCATTTAACTCAATCTAATACCGTTTTAACCAAACTCAGACCGCTACGATGAGGAGCCAAATATAGATCAGCTCAAGTCAGTGGGAACCACTCCACATTTATATCAGTGAAACACCAAGAGCATAAATTGTGCTGTTACAAACTGTGCCCGAAACTAGGAAATGCTGATCTGTTAGTCTGTCTCTTTCCCTCCTGCTGCCCGAGTGACTTTCTAGCAGCAGTATCTGCAACAAAACACCCAGTAAGACCAGCAGCAGTGTGGGATTTGTGGGGAAGGCGCGGGGGTAGGAGTGATGCTGTAATTGCTGGGAGGATTGCCAGGGTATGCACGTCAAGCCAGCAGGTCACGTGCTGTGTTTGTTTACCCTTATCCCAGGTCCAGAGTTTGACACTGGCATTTCTGTGGTCAGGCTGATGCGTGAGCAGGAATCCCAGAGTTTGCCTCTGCCGTGCACCAGACACAACTTCAGCCCTGCCCTAGGAGACCTTTGGTCTCACGGGGATGAGCCTGACCACAGCAGAGGAAGTTGATCTGGAGCTGCTGTGCTTTGCTGTGGGTTTCTATTGATCAAAGGAGAGTTTCTCTCCGGGATGCACGTACTGGTCCTTCCAGCCCAGCATCAAGTAATCAAGATGAGTCTATCCCAACTGTGACACAGATATCCTTGCTCCAGAAAGAAACACAAAGGATGGAAAAACAGAAAAACCTATTATTATGATTGGCCTCATGATTATTTCCTAAGGAGTCTGGAAGCTGCTTGCAAAGGAGCTGTCTGGTCTCGCAGGGAATAAGGATTTAGGCTGCTTTTTAAAATGCAAATTATTTTATGGCTGAGATATATTTTAGAATAAGTAACGCTTTGTAATAAGTGGGCACAAATTAACAATGATTGGCAATAGCAATCCTGTATGTACGCCCTGGGAAATCATGGCTCCAGCCTCCAAGGGATTTCTGTTGAAATCTATATCCATATATTCCCGTGCCAATACCAATGAGATTGATCAGGATTGATATTATTGGAGGAAAGAGTGGAAGCGATAATCATTTGTTTCCTATGAGGCAGACTAGAAAAGTTGTTAAACATTAGAATACAGGCCTTTTCAATTACTGCTCAAAATAAATGGATATTGATTTCTTTAAAAAAATCAGATTTACTTTCTCACCTTCAGTGGTAAATATTGATGTCTGTGGGAAATAGAAATAAAAAGCTTCATTTTAAAGGCACTTAGCCTGCTCTGACAATGGGGTACCCCTTCATTGCTTCAAGAGATACAGATTGAAAAGGATATTCTGGTCATACAGATTTAGCTCTGAGCTCTGTTTTTCTGTAGAAAAGCATCTTTTTCTGTGACTTGAAGAAGGTCTTTTGTCCCTGTTTTCCTGATAAAGCTATCCTACGTTCTAGGGGACACAAGAGACTTAGAATGGGAGGACAGTGTAAAAAAACAAAGGGTTTTTCCCGATTTCTAGTCCAACATGAATGTGGCAGCCAGTGTCTTGCTAACCACTACAGTGAGGGACTTGGAAGCTTGGCTTAGTTGCTTGTAGGCTGTTCAGTTCACTGGTTTGCTTTCTAACTATAGCACTTCTTGAGATAGTAGCAGCTAAAATTATGTTAGAAGACCTGCAATCTTAAAGCTGCAGGGAGCAGATTCTGGGCATCACCCCAGTGTCATGTTTACTCTAGAACTTGTGTATTTACTTTCCCTTCACCAAGAAGATGCACGCACACAACTCCTCTTTAATCTGATTCTCTTGGGGTGATTACTGCCAAGCCTTCAACTCCTGGTCCCATAAGTTTATTAACAACAACACAAGGCACCCACCCTGCCCCCAGGATTGCTCACCCACTGGCATCGTGCGTGTCTCACGGTCTGTGTCTGTATCTCTGCAGAGATTCACCAGTAAGCAGGATGTGATTCGGCATTACAACATGCACAAGAAGCGCGATAACTCCCTGCAGCACGGCTTCATGCGCTTCAGCCCCCTGGACGACTGCAGCGTGTACTACCACGGCTGCCACCTGAACGGGAAGAGCACCCACTACCACTGCATGCAGGTGAGTGCCCCTGCAGGCACCGAGCACGAGAGCCGCGGCTCAGCTGCCTCCTCGAGGGTCCCGGCCGCCCCTGTCACACAGCACGGGGCTGTCCTGGCCACCCCTGTCACACAGCACGGGGCTGTCCTGGCCACCCCTGTCACACAGCACGGGGCTGTCCTGGCCACCCCTGTCACACAGCACGGGGCTGTCCTGACCACCCCTGTCACACAGCACGGGGCTGTCCTGGCCACCCCTGTCACACAGCACGGGGCTGTCCTGGCCACCCCTGTCACACAGCACGGGGCTGTCCTGACCACCCCTGTCACACAGCACGGGGCTGTCCTGACCACCCCTGTCACACAGCACGGGGCTGTCCTAAGGCACAGGGGGACATGGGGAGCCCGTCTTGCTGGCTTCTGATTCAGGAGCCTCGCTGATGAGTCCATGCCCTGTCCTCACTGCACTGGTCATGACGAGCGCTGGGAATGGCAAAGGGAAGCCCCATTCTCAGTTTTTAGAAGTCTTGTCCATGCAGTGAGGCAAAGCAGGTCTCAAGGTTTTCTCAAAGTCTTGGGTTTATTGAAGCAAGTCCCATTCTCTGAGACTCAGGAACTTCTTTAATGCCAATGCACTGTCTCTACTCAAATCTGATCTGTCCCTCCCTTGAAACCAGACTTTCTTGTGGCACATCTGCCCTTTAGCACTGGGTTAATTTCCTCCATAATCAATTTCTAAAGTAATTAAACCTTAATGTCACATATCTGCACTTAACACCCCTGGTTCTCCATGTCCTTTGCCAGTGGCATTCATGTGTGGTGTAGGCTGAGAGCTGTGTTCCAGGGGCAGCCAAGCCTCAGCAGCAGTGGAGCCAGAGCTGGAGCTGCTGCACAGATGGAACTGTGATACCTTCACTGTTTTAGACATGAACACACCACATTGTTTGGGTCTTAACCTGATCATTCCTCAGGTTCGATGCTTTGACGTGTACTTGTTTTAGTAGAATTGTGGCCTAAACCATTGCCCTGAAAAAGTGCAGTTGCAAGCAGAGTGATCAGCCAACCCTTGGTGACAGATTTTCTGGTCTGAAAAGTCAGGCTCACTTCCTGACCTGTCCCAGCAGTTTAAGACCCCAGTTAAAGTCACAAGGCCTTAATCACATGCTTAAATGCTTTGCTAGGATAGACTTCAGCATATGTTTAACTTGAAGCTTTCTGAAGTCAATGGGGCTTAAGCACATACTTAAATGTTAGGCATGCACTCAACTTCTGTCCTGAATAGGGACTGGTTGAAGCATGTGCTTGCAGCATGTGATAAATTGGGAATTTCATGTGTCTTTCTCCTGAGGACTTTTTCTTAGCACTTCCATAATATTGATTATTTCGTTTCTTCAGTTGAGCAGGGTGGGATTTGCTTGATTTCTTTTTTTTAGAGTACAAGGAGTGTTTCACAGCCTTAAGGCACTCCGAGTTCAAATAGAGACCCTCGCTTACACAGCTATATATGGCTAATTCCATCCTGTGCCCACTGTCTTCCAGTAAAGTCATGCCCATGTAAGCAGTGCCTTACAGGAAAGGTGTCAGGATATAAACTCCCAATTAAAGAAAATACCGCTTAAATGGCAGAATTTGTGCCATCCATCACATGGGGTTTTTTTCTTTATGTCCATAATTGGTGTGGATAAAATTCAGTTAGTTGTTTATATAAACTGACTTTTTTTAGGCTTTCGCACCAAGAGCTGCATTGCAAATTATTCCTAAGGACGCTTTTGTTTAATTCTTTTTTTTAATGCCATGCAGGGCCTGTCTTTTTTCAAGGTGTCAGTGTGGAGAGAGAGAGGCTCTTTTTATATTGGAAATAGCTGGAGATCCTTTTTATTTTTTTCTCCGGGTATTTGTCATGGGTTTTGTTATTGCCTGTTTGAATCAACCTGGGCTGAACTAAGGGGTGGTGTTTTCCTTCTCTTCATTTCTGAGATGGTGCAGGCATTGGCACATGTTGTGCTAGAAGAAAAGAAAAAAAATCCTCCCTCAGCAGGGCTGAGGACGTTTTCAGATTCCAGTGGGTTTTTACTCAATATGGCAAAGTTGCCCCGCTTTACCCAGAGGAAAGCAGGTTTTCAGCATTCCGTCCTCATCACAGCATTCTCATGCACTGCACAAGTTTAAAATTATTGAAGTGGGAGTCTTGAACAGTGACAGGGAAAAAAAGTCACCAGTTTGCTAAAATCAGCTGAACATGGGGTTTAAGATTTGCTAGAATGAAACCGTTTATTACAAGATCAAAAGAGTGGTTGGCCTCATGTTGCACCAGCATGCCTTACCTCCCAGAAGGACTAAAGAAGTAAATAACTTTTTCCCACTCAATTTTGTATTCCCCAAATAGATGAAATCCTACTTTGTTCTGTGTCACTCCAAGATAACAAAAAGCAACAGCATCTGTTAGTGTTCTGTTCTCTTTAAGAGCAGAACCCTACTAACTGCTTCCCCAAGCAGGCATGCTTATCTGGAGCTGGTATTTTATCCCTCCAGTCCTCCCTTTTTTTCTTACTGGTTCATGCCCAGAGAGTTGGTTTGTGTTTGGTTTTTTTTTTCACAACTGCTCTATGCTCTATCAGTCTTTAGATTGCGAATTAAAGTGATGACTTAATACCCCTAGGAGAAGCACACAAATGGAACTATTAAATGATCGTGTGCTACCCATGTATTTATTGCTGCTGGTAATAATGTCAGGCTGTTAAACCGCTGTGCTGATGACTCCTCTTTGGGCCCGGGGTAGGTGGGTTGTAACAAGGTCTATACAAGCACCTCTGATGTGATGACCCACGAGAACTTTCACAAGAAGAACACGCAGCTCATCAACGACGGGTTCCAGCGGTTCCGTGCCACGGAGGACTGCGGCACCGTGGAATGCCAGTTCTACGGGCAGAAAACCACTCACTTCCACTGCAGGTGAGACAGCAGGGAAGGGGAAGAGTCCTGCCTCAGAGCTCTGAGTTCTGTTTGCCTCCTTCTGCCAAGTCATAATTTCCCAAGTATGCACAGGGACTTGATTTGCCCTGCTGTGACCTTCTCAGTATTGCTTCTGGGAGAACTCATATACCAGAGTAGATGTGAATTCCAGGATTGTGCCACAGACCACTCTGAAGGCAGGAGTATGATCTGAGGAGAGGATACCCACTAGAAAACAGAGCCTAGAATAATTTGGGAAAGAGATCACAGTGCTCTTCAGAGTGCAAGCGTGGGCCATTAATACACTGCTAATGGCACTTTCATGGTAGGGTTCTCTCCAGCCAGCTCATCCCTTTTGGGGCCAGACTTAGCCTTCTGTACACAACTGCTCTTCTACTGATTTTTTAGGTTTTCAAGAAGAGTAGGAAAGCACATTTTGTACCTTAGTCCCCTTTACTTGCAGTTTTGTTGGAACTTTTAGTGGAGGGTGCCTGTATTCCCATGTTCCTGTGGCAGTTCCGCAGAGTGGAGTGAGCTTCCCAGCTCTCCCACACGGCAGCAAATCTGCTGGCCTGGGTGTCCCAGATTAAGCCATAGACAGCTCCTCAGCCCCTCTGCAGCTGGGGCAGTTGTCTCATTACAGCCCCAGTCCTTGTCCTAGAGGGAGGTGGGAGACAGCAGCTCTGCCATCATGGCCAACCACCCTCTCCTCAATGCCCTTGCAGGAGACCTGGGTGTACATTCACCTTTAAGAACAAGTGTGACATTGAGAAGCACAAGAGCTACCACATCAAAGATGATGCCTATGCCAAGGATGGCTTCAAGAAGTTCTACAAGTACGAGGAATGCAAGTATGAGGGCTGTGTCTACAGCAAGGCCACCAACCACTTCCACTGCATAAGGGCAGGCTGTGGTTTCACCTTCACCTCCACCAGCCAGATGACTTCCCATAAACGCAAACACGAGCGCCGGCACATCCGGAGCTCAGGAGTGCTGGGCCTGCCTGCCTCACTCCTGGGCTCCAAGGAAAATGAGCAAGAGGAGTCCAGTAACGATGACCTTATTGACTTCTCTGCCATGAGCTCCAAGAACTCCAGCCTGAGTGCCTCCCCGACCAGTCAGCAGTCTTCCGTTTCTCTCATCGTCCCAGCTGCACCCTCCTCTGCGGCTGAGCTTGCTTCCTCACAGGCCGCCAAGTCTGCCAACAGCATGACACCAGCCACAAAGATCTCTGGCCTGCTTTCCCAGGCTCTTCCTAGCAATATACCCTTGGCCCTGGCACTCTCCAACTCAGCACTTCCTGGAACAGCTGGATCCTTCTTCCCCATCATCCCCAGTCGGGTCTCTACACCACTCCCTGCCAGCTCGGCTAATCTGATGACTGCTGGTTCTTCTGGCACCAATCCAGCATCATCTGCTCCAACAGATTCCTCATCCCAGGCAGTTTCAGGATCTGGTGAGCCAGTGGCTACTTCTTCGCCTGCTCCAGCAGCCTCTATAATGGAAAGGATCTCTGCTAGTAAGGGATTAATCTCTCCTATGATGGCCAGGCTGGCAGCAGCTGCACTCAAGCCCTCTGTGGCACTTGAAGCAGGTGAGTTACCTCATCAGTTGTGATGGTGGTGGAGGCAGAGCAGTGCCTGGTGACTTGGAGGAGAGTGAATGAGAAGTCACCCAGTTGTCCATGGGAGTGCAGTTGGGAAAGGGGTAGAAAAAGAAAATAAATGGGAGAATGAATTTAGTTGTGTCTAATTAACCCTTGAGGAAGGCAGTCTTGCCAAGGTTTCCTGTGGAGCCTGGCTATGCCCACATGGCCGGAAGAGAGGCGAGAAACATTTCTGCCCATGAAGAGGGTAAGCTCTTACCAGAGCTGAAGAGTGTTGCCATGTGTAATTGGCTATAGGCTGAAAAGAGAGAGGCACTCTATTGAAAACAGAAATTAAGAAAAAATACCTTACCCAGTACTTGCAGGCTCTACTGAGACTGTATCAAGCTTTATCTAGGCCCAGTACTGATGATCGTGTAGCCCCTGGCCAGTTGTTTCCTGCTCTGTGTTCAGGGCTGTTCTGTGCTTCAGCTGTGTTGTCCCAGCTGTGGGTTTGGGGACAGTGTAGGTGCAGTCCACAAACGGGACCTCCTTTTCGGTCAGTTCCTGCGAGCTGTGCTCCCCTCTCCCCGCGCTGCCGGAGCGGTGAGGGATGGGCAGGGGCATCCCCTGGGGCAGCCCGGAGCCGAGGCCGGTCGCAGCTCGGTCCCAGCGCTGGCAGATGGCCGAGGGGCTCCCAGGAGGGCACGGGCAGGGGCCGTGCAGGGCAGGCTGAGCCTGGCGGCCCCCGCGGCGCTGGGCTGAGCCCGGCCCGGCCCTGGCAGCGCTGCTGACGGCCCCGGCTTCGCAGGAGGAACGGGGGAGTAGAAGGAAGTGATCTGATTAAAGAGGGAGGGGAACCTTCGCATACTTTTAAAATTATTGTTTGAAAAATTGTTTCCTAAAGCAGAGAAAGGTCATTGAGGGAACTATTTTCCTTTATTTTTTAATAAAATGCCACTTGCTGTCTGAGAAGCAGCTCGCCGTCAGCTGTACTGCCGGAGGGTAAATTAATATTTTAGTCACTTGGGGATTGTGGAAAAAAGCTCTGCAGACATGTTTCTGTCAGCAACTTTTTTTCCCTCCTTTTTTCTTTGCTGGTTTTCCTAATTTTTTTTTGCTCCAGTTTGTTCTCTTTCGTCCCTCCCCCCTACCTTCCCTCCTTTTTTTTTCCCTCTCCTCCTTTAATTTGAATTCTTCCTTCACGGGCTCGGCACTAAACCTGCTCCCGAAAAAGGAGCATTCCCGGTTTTTGCGAGGGCGGTGGGTGGCAGGAGGTCGCGCAGTCCGAGCCGGTGCCGTCGCTGTCACCTTGGATCGTCCCAGCGGGGCAGATGCTCCTGCTGGGCAGGCGCACTGTCGGGCCAGCGCTGTCGCTACGGCAACGCCGGGGCTGGGGACGAGCAAGGGGGCTTGACTAGCAGTCGAAAGCTGCCACATTGCCTCAGCATTAACAGAGTCTTTAATAAACGCTTAAGAGGCAGCCCCGCAAATTAGTTATGACAGTTTGTGCAGAGAATGAGGTCTCCCCCACGCTCCTTCCGCCCTTCTCCTTTAAAGGGCCCGTAGCCTGGACAACTTTGACATAATTTTGCAATAATTATCACTTGAAGAATTTCCACGCTGGAGTGGACGTCAGAACCCATCATGTCAACTTGGCAATAAACGCTGACCAGCAATCCCAGTACTTCCCTCCCCCCCCCCACTTTTTCTTTGCTTTTTCAACTTAGGCACTGATGCCAATGATTTAACTTAAATTATTTGCTGTTGTAACCTCATTTTAGACCTATGTTTTTAATTTATTTTTTTGCACTTACTTTCACTATATTTCTTGAGCAGGTAATGGACAACCAGCACCTCCCGGACGGTTCAATCCAGTCCAGGTGAAGCAGGAACCTGCGGAGGCCATGGGACCGACATCTGCCACCAGCCAGGACCCCTTGCAGGAGCACAGCTTGGACCTGAGTGTCAAGGACCACGGGTGAGAGAAGTGGGCAGGCAGGAACACTCAGCACTTCCCGCATCAGGCTTTGGGAAGTTTCCGTACCTGTAAATCAGGAGGACACAGCATGTTGGTGAAAGGCAGCTTCACCGTGGTTGAGTTGAACACCCCAAAACTGGAGGCAGGCAGGCTCACTCTGCTCCCCATTCTCCAGGTGGTTTTTTGTGCTCACAGGCTGACTCTTCAACAGGAGCTTCACTTCTTCTGCTCCCTTCTGAAAATCGAAGCACTGGCAAAGCTGTTTTCACTGCCACACCTCAGCACACTCTTAGCAGCAGCATTTCACTGCTGTAGTCTGTTGAATCAGGGCTAAGGGAAGCACATTCCAGAGAATCTGGACACACAAAACAGCTGGGTGTCAGGCTCACTCTGCTCTTGGTCTGGCGTGGGCTGCCCTACAGTTATGGTGATGGTTGTGCAGGTGTGAACACACCTATCTCAAAGCATGTGTCCCACTTGCCCAGCATCTCTGCTGAGAACAGGAGTGTTTGGGGATTGTGCTGTGTGGAAAAAGAGCAGAGGAACTGATCCTGGGGATAAGTGAGCTCCACTTTGACCTTTGTATCCATTCCTGTCCATACCTTATTTAAACAAGCCTCCCTTTGGGAGTCCAGTACTTGGAGCCAACTGCAGAGATCCTAAGGCTGCCATTCAGAACAGGATTGTGCCTTGCCTTCCTTATGGCCCAGGGGATCCCTGTCCCTGGCAGCATGAGCCTTTGTCAACATCCCCCCTGCTTTTGTGGTATTTTTGTGATAGTTCTGAAAATTCTAATGGGATGGAGGGCTAAAACCTGGGGGAGGTAATGAGTTAACAAATGAAGTGTGATGGAGTAGACACCAGGGGAAGAGGTCCAGGCCATTTAGTAGTTGAAAGATTAAATTCTGCAGACCTGAGACCCTCTTTCTGTCCCTCTTGGCTATCACAAGTAGGCGAGTTTGGCCTGCCCAAGGGAGGGTTGGCATCATTCTTTTCCCTTGGATGTAGTAGGTGAGGAGTGAGGCAGCCTGAAGGGAGAAGGATTAATCTCAGCGCTCACAGTCCCTGTGCACATCTTAACTAAACCCTGTTGGTTTGTGTGTTTCAGTAATGAATCAAATGGCCACACAGTCTCAGCAAATTCATCTCTTTTATCCTCGCTTATGAATAAGGTAAGAGCCATCCATCAAACGCCTTTCATTCCCCCCACCAAGAGAAATTAAAGCTGCGATAGCGGGGGGGGGGGGGAAGAGATGCGTTTGTTTTTTAATGTTTTGCCTCTAATAAGATGAGTTTGTACCATTTAAATTTTGAGACCATTTTTCATCGGGTATAATTTCAGAGCCACTGCTTACGAATTAATTTAATGAACTGGCTGAAGAAATATATTGCCGCCTCTGACACCTTTTTTTTCCCCATCCTTTCTAGACAGAGGAGAGCTCCAAAAGCTTTTTTCTTTTCTTTTCTTTTCTTTTCTTTTCTTTTCTTTTCTTTTCTTTTCTTTTCTTTTCATTTCTTTTCTTTTCTTTTCTTGTGAGGGTGGGGTTAGTTTTTTGGGTTGGTTTGGTTTGGGTTGGGTTTGGTTTTTTATTTGTTTTTGTTTTGAGAACCTGGCAACTTCTCTCTCACTTCCCTTTTATAGTTATTAATTTTGTTTATTTACTTAAAATAAAATAATTTTGTTTATTTACTCTCCCTCCTTCATTTGGGGAGGGAGAGAATAATCTATTTTTATGAAAGAGAAGAAAAAATTAGAAGTTTTGAACCAAAATCATCAATTTCTGTCTTTCTGGTGTGAGTAATGGTGTCTAACAGAGTCCCCTTTACTGTGTCCTAGAATATTTATTTTAGATGATGCACAGTTTCTTTTTCCTTACTTTTTTGTTAAATTATACATCATCTCAAATGTATATTTCTCTTTCACATGATAAATTCTACTGTACCAAGATTAATTTTATGGCTGTATACAACTGCTCTAGAGATCAGGGCAGCCTTTGAGCCATGCTTTAATATTCTGCTATGTGATAGGTTTTATAGGCATTACTATTGCCATCCCCTTGGCTCTGGGTGTTACATGCATCAAGGCCATATAACCCTCAAGAGAGGGCAAAGTGACTTTGCCTGGTAATCTCCCACCTCCTTTCTTTCTTATCACTGTTTTTCTCTGTGTTGTTTAATTTCTGCATTTATCCTTATGTCACTTTTCTCCTCCATTGGCTTTCTGTTACACTGGGGTTTCGATTTTCCCTTTTAAACTTAATTTCTTATTTGTTTCTTTGTATTGTCCCTTTAGTATTTCCAAATATGCAGGTCTTTCTTTAGTGAGCAAATGTGTTTAGTAGCTCTGCTCTCTGGGGTCATGAGTCATTCTGAAGGTCCCAGATCAGGGAAATTCTCTTTCAATGGGGACTTCACTTGAAAATCTCCAGGATAATATGTGATAAAAGTAAATGTTTAGAAAAAAGCATTTCTTTGTGTGCAGTCTGACATAAGGTTCTTAAAGTTGTGCAAAGCAAATGTAGCACAGGTGTAAACTAGGAGTCAGGTTAAAGGACTGGGATTAACCAATGAGATAAACCAGCAAAGAGTAGAACCCACTGTGTGTGGGATTGATGGAACCAATTCCAAGACTAAAGATGGCAGAATCAAGCTTAGTTTGCTCAGGAAGACATCACCCTTGCTTTTTCCTGTGGCTGCACACAATTTCTGTCCATGGGGGAATCCTTCATTGTTTTTCCAGGAAAAAGAACAGGAAAAAAACTTTACAGAAATGGAATTACCAGTGGAAACACACGACCTGAATTTCTGACTCCAGCCAATAAAGAGTTGCAGTCTCCACACAGCAGCAGGGGCTTTACCTTCAGGGGGCATTAAGAGAGCCTCAAATAACCAGGATTCCTGAAGCCTATTGCAGTTTATTTAGGGGGTTGTCAGGCTTAATTAACTGATATTTATAAAGGGCTTTGAGACCCTCAAGTGGGTGGAGTTTCCAGTGCAAGTATTGGGCCCAATCTTGCATTTTATTCAGGCTGTGAAATTCACTGTTGTTACTGGAGGTAATTGAGAGCACAACAGAGAAAGAAAGAGTCTGGGAAATCATGCATTTATTCTGAAAGAAAATTTTCCCTCTGGGCAGGCTTGAGTAACTTCATTTTTCTATCCTGCACATTTTACACTGGGACCTCTAAACCTTCTCTGTGTAGATTCTATTTGAAGCCTTTCACACAGTGCAGATTGTGAGACCAAGTCCTGCTTCATGGAGGATGTGTCTATTTAGCACAGAAAAGTGACACGATTTTATTATTGAAGTTAGTAAGAATTTTCCAGGAACTTGAGACAGAATTTTTCCCCTCACACATACCTAGTAGTCACTTTAAAGGAGACATCCTTGTGGCTGGGATAAGATGACTGAATAAACTAGAGTTTACCAGTTCTACCACCAGCAATTTGTAGGAGCTGCACAGGGCTATTACTGGTGAAGCCCACACACCTTTTCCATAGTCAGATTGGGGATGTCTCTCTTCACCTCAGTTTCCTCGTGGATAAAATAGACATGATGCTTCATTACTTTAACGAGATCCATGAATAAATATTCAATAGGCACCTCAGTGCTTCATGATGGGTGGGTGGAAGAGGCAGAAGAGTGAGGTGTTACTGACTTCTGCTGATGCAGTTGAAGCAGCCTGCACTGACTTTTTGTCATCTTTTTCAATCTTTGAAGAACACTGCTCTCTGTGGGACAGTCCTGAGGGTGGCTGTGTCTGTGTGCTGGGCTTGATGCCGTGTCTGTGTTCTTGTTCCAGATGTCCAAGACCAGTGCCAGCCTTGGCAACCTGCTGAACATTAAGACAGAAGGCGAAGGCAGCCAGGCTGGGGCTGGGGAGCCAAACCAGTACCTGGGCAAGGCAGTGAAGGCTCTTGTCCAGGAGAAGCTCTCTGAGCCATGGAAGATGTACCTGCGCCGGTAAGGAGAGCATGGAACTGGGAGCAGGGGAAAGGGGAAAGTGCTTCCTGTGCAGTGTCTGACTCACTGGCTCACCCTGAACACAGAGTTCTGTTCAATTTAAGGGCCTAATTCTGTCAGACACTGATCACCTGGAGCACATTCAGCCCTTGGTTGTACCTACCTGCACCGGGTGTTAATGTCTGATAAGAAATACCTGTCCACATAGAATTATTTTGCAAAGGGGTGTTGAGAACCAGATACAAGCACAGATCTTCATGTAGTTCTGTTGTCCTGGACTTCACCTTAGGCTCCTCCTTATGCCCCTGCAGTGCAAGCCCAGGGGACCCAGTGTAGGTGTGCCCTTAGCACTGCACCTGTGTGAGACCATGGCCACTCACTGCACACAGGCCATTGGTGCCTTGACATGCTTCCTGGGGCATTGCAACTGAAACTAAACAAGTTTGGGGATGTAGAGGCATGGGAATAAGGAAAAGAGTACGGGAGCTGGAATGATTTCTGCTGCTTTTATTGTAGGAAGGGAGACTCAAAAAGAAAATGGAGCAGATACAAAGCTCACCCACATAGAGACACATGCACATACACGCCCAGACAGACACGTGCTTTGAGGGCACACAGATACACCCAGGCAGACACACAGGTTTGTGCTCTGACACAGAGAGTCACCTACAAATGCCAGTGCACACTTTGTAAATCAAAGGCTTTAATGGGGAGCACTAGAAAATCTTCCAGTCCATCAGCCCCTGGCTGGTGTGAGGTCCTTCCCAGCAGTCCATTTGCAATTTGTCTGGTCTGGTTGTAATAGTGTCAGGCAGTGTGGCTATTTTCTTGTCTCTTACCACCTAGAAAGTTTCAGTGTCACAGCCTTTTCCATGGTATGCTGCCTGAATTCCACTTCTTGTAGTTTCCTTGCAGCTCTTTACATCCCCTTGAACCACAGCAGATCATCCCTCTCTGCAGCTGGAGTTCAGCCCCTTCAGATAGTCCCAAACTTTCAGCATTCCATTTAACCAGGCTTACTTGCCTCCTTTAATCTGACTCTGGGTTAGTCCCTTGTGCCTGCGGGTCCTGTTGCTTTCCTGTTGTTCCCTGGATGGTGCAGAATTGCCCCCCTCCCGACAGAACAAGCCTCCTGCCCCCAAACAGGCAGCTCAGAATCTGTTTGTATCTACACAGAATAAAGCCCAGTACCATGGTTATCATCCTCTGTGACACAGAATTGCTTTTAAAGTTGGTTAGTGAGTCCCTGCTGTATAAAACATCCCCACACCCAGGTGTGTTTGTTGTGCGTTTCCAAACATGATTCTCCTGTTCTGAACGTTCCCCCTTGTCTTGCTAAACCTCTCTGTGCTCTTTTCCTCCTCTTGCACTAGTATTGCCACCTCCTCCCAGTTTAGTATCTTGGTGGATTTCATAAACACACTGTTTACTCCTAGATTACTAATTAAGATGTTCAATAAACTCAGACTAACCCAAGTCCTCCTCTCAGCACTCACACAATGCCTCCTCCTCCCAGCTCAGTGTGGTGCTGGTTGTCATCAGCCTTTGTTTATGGTCCCTCAGCCAGTTTCAAGCCATGAGGTGGCATTACATCCAGGCCAATTGGAATTAATTCTAAGCATATGCAAGACTGAATCAAATGCTTTACTAAAATCCAAATATATTGCATCCCTTCATCCACTAATTTTGTAATTCTATCAAAAAAAGCAATTAAATTTGTCTGGCAAGATTTATTCTTTATAATCCTGATGCTGTTTATTGCTCATGGTTCCTTTATCCTCTAGATGTTTAATGATTTTCTCCTCCCTCTTAATATTTGTTCCATTACTTTACTGGAAGGAGAAGTTAAGGCCAGAGGTATGATAATTGCCAAAGATGACTTGTCTTTTCTTTTTCCCCTCAAAGAACCAGTGCCTTGACTGTTTCATTTCTTTTTTTTTTCCACTTCTGTAGTACCTCCCACTTCTCTATGGCTTAAAAACCAGCAAATGGTAATGTAATCAGTTTGGGAGTTAATTTCCATTGCACTTCAGGACATACATCATCCAGACTGACTGATTTGTATTTTTCGAATGAGTCCCTTTATCTGCTCTCCTAGAAGGTCTTCTTCACTACATCCCAAATTCTCTGCTTTGTCTTTAGTCTTCTCATCCAAAGCAAATTTTATAATGCAGCCATTTTTGATTCATCACCTCCCTTTCTGTGGGAGGCCTTCTTTCTAGGCTCAACACTTCTTGTCTCTGATGAAACAGCCCCTTTGGTGTGCAATAACGTGGTTTCTTCTCTCTTACCCCACAATTACTTTCCTTCCTCTTCTCCCTGCAAGCCATAACTGACAGCACATGTTGTATATCCACAGACCTTCCTTCTCCAGTACAAGTTTTTTCTCTTTCCTTTACCCTCCCTTTGGTGAGAGGTCCCTCCTGGGACCCTACAGGCTGCTGTTTGTTTCTTGCTTTCCTGCTCATCAGAGCAACTGTAGTTTGTTGTACCTTAATTATGCAAGATTCCCTTGTTAAGTTTCAAATCCTTCCTGCCAGTGTTTCTTACTTGTTTCCCTGTGATTCTGGAGTTTCCTGAAATCACAGGTATCTGTGCTGCACTTATGAAGTCCAGAGAATCTCAGCAGTGGGTGAGCAGTGACACCACCCTGAGCTGGTTTTGCCCTCTTGGCCATTTGCTCCAAGAGAGCACAAGACATGTCCTGGATAACATGGTGGGTTTTGCTCTGGGGTTTGCATGGCAGAGTTGTTGTTCTGTACATCAGGGATGGTGCTGTGCAGTATTTCTGCAGTCCAGGCTGTAATTGCTGCTTAGAGGATGCTTCATCTCTCCCACCTGAGAGATACCCTCCTATCCAGGGGTGGGTTCTGGATCTAGAATTACTGTTGTTTGTGGGAATGCTAATAGAGTTGTAAAATACAGAAATAATGTCTGCTCCAACTCCACTTCTCTCCTGGGGCCTTCCCTGAGATGTCTGCTTGTCTGTTTTGGGCAGGTTTGGCACCAAGGATTTCTGTGATGCCCAGTGTGACTTCCTGCATAAGGTGCATTTCCACTGTGTGGTGGAGGAGTGTGGAGCCCTCTTCAGCACCCTGGATGGAGCCATCAAGCACGCCAAGTGAGTGGGAGAGCAGGAGGCAGGGACAGCTCTGCAGTGCACACTGCAGGACCACCCCAGGTTCCTTTTAAGGCAATGGAATGCCCAAGTAAAGAATGAGTAAGGCTTCCATGAGCGTGGCCATTCACTTGCCTGAGTCTGCAGGGGTTGTAGGGAAGGAGATGTTGCAAATTTGAACACAGATCTGCTGGCATGGTTGGTCTCTCCTGTTGGGTGCTTCCCTGTGAGCAGGAAATGTCTGGCTTCTCCCAGCAGCCCTGGGAAGCTGCCCCACAGCTGTTCTCAGTGACTGCAGCGATTCTGGGGGTTCTCTAATTTTAACAGGGTTTGGCACCTATCTCCACCCATCCTAATGATTTCCCTTCTCTTCATAGATGATTTAGGATGGCCCTAAATCTTACTTCAAAGTCTGCAGAGCCCCTTTTAGGATTTATCCACACCAATTTGTTTACAGGCTCCTGCCACATTCTTGTTGGTGTTTAATCAAATTACATGAAATGGTCAAGAATTTACGTCTGAATTGGTATCGTGTTTTGCAGTTTTCACTTCCGAACTGAAGGTGGAACTGTGAAAAGCAACTCTGAGTCTCCCTTCTCAACTGCTACTGAGAATAAAGCTTCACTGGCCCCTTCATCACCATCTGCTGCTTCTGCCACCATGGCCAGTGCTCCTGCCCTTGACGTGCCCACTCCAAATCCAGCTGCTATGCCCTCTGCTCCCACACTACTTGCTTGGAAACAGCTGGCTTCAACCATACCCCAGATGCCTCAGATCCCAGCATCAGTGCCTAACCTGGCAGCTTCACCCTTGGCAACGACTTCCCTGGAGAATGCCAAGCCTCAGGTCAAACCTGGATTTCTTCAGTTCCAGGAGAAGTAAGTTTCAGCTACCATTTGCCTCCTTCTATCCTCCCCAGCCAACCTTTCCTCAGAGCTGCAATAGCACACTTCTGCTCACCCACTGAGAAACCTGCCCAGAAAATACCCTGGGCTTGACTTCACAGAAAAATTATTTCTGTGAAGTCTAGGAAATACTTTAAGGTTTTTGGGCGCATCTGAGAACAATTTTAGGCATGAGTTTAGAAGATAAATAAACTTGGTGATCTATTTATCACTGATACCTGTTTTGTCCCTTGTGAGAGCTGTGCAGAATTAGAGATATCTTTGCAGTATGTTTGACAATAAAGGGTTATTGGGCCAAAATTTCATGCACTGAGGGGGGGTGGAAGGTACCAAACCCATCAGCTGATGAGAGGGGCAGTGCTGGTCCTGTCAGATCAGGGGAAGCCCTGGCATCCTGCAGTGGCCACACTCAAGAGTTGTGTTTCCTTTGAACTTTAAATTGGAGAAGTGGCCCTCAAAGACTACAGAACCCACTGTGCACTGCCGTGTTCTAATACTCCTAACCAGGAAAGTGCAGTAGTTGGGTGGAATTGTAGTAGTGTTGCCAGCCTCAATTTCCCTGAAGAGGAAGGTGACTATGGGAAATCTGTGGGCCATGTTTGGAACAGAGGCTTCAGCTGGGCTCCCCTTGAATTAAACCTTGGCAAAGAAACAAATGTGTGAAATGAGTGAAGGTGATGATTGGGTTTTGGATGTATTCCAGTGATCCCTGCTTGGCAACAGACTGCAAGTATGCCAACAAATTCCACTTCCACTGTCTCTTTGGGAACTGCAAGTATGTGTGCAAAACCTCTGGCAAAGCAGAATCCCACTGCCTGGACCACATCAACCCCAACAATAATCTGGTGAATGTGCGAGACCAGTTTGCTTACTACTCCCTGCAGTGTCTCTGTCCAAACCAGGTAAGAGCCATTGCAGAGTAGTGTCCTGGCAGGACTGGGGAGGAGGAGGTGAAGGATCAGGTAGACTGACTCTCCAGCAGGAAGTGAGGCTGTGTGTGGCTTTCTTGGTGTTACTACAGAACCATGGAAGTCATAATTACGTGGTCTGGAAAAACATTTGGGTTTTATCAAATGGGAAATCATGATGCTTTTGTGTATTTTTGACTTGGGTGAAGTGGACAAGGGAATGAGAACAATCTGAGAGACACAAGATGAAATAGAATAAAGATCTGTGATGAATCCAGGGAAAGCCATGAGTAAGCTTTGAGATATCTCAACAGAGAATAGTGTATTACAGAGTACACGACAGGACTCGAAAGAGAACAAGGTGCATGGCAGGTTGTGGAAGATAAAATGGGATCTGGAGTATCAGTGCAGGCCCCTCTGACACATCAGAAGGGACACCATTAGCAGCAGGCAGTTGGGAGTGCATTTGTTTTAGAGCTGCCTAAAGCACTGTGCCTGTGTGCTCCCTCCAGCACTGTGAATTCCGCATGCGAGGGCATTACCACTGTCTGCGTCCCGGCTGCTTCTTCGTGACTAACATCACCACCAAGCTGCCCTGGCACGTGAAAAAGCACGAGAAGGCAGAGAGAAGGGCAGCCAACGGCTTCAAGTATTTTACCAAGCGGGAGGAATGTGGCAGACTAGGTGAGTTTGGCTCCGTTTCTCATGTGGTGTGTCCCATGTCCAGGCCAAGAATGCCGTAAGTTAGAACCTGCACGTTATGCTTAAGAGGTATTTGGTCATTAAAATCACTAAACAAGAAAGGCAACAAAACATAAAGCAGTTCCTGGTCTGTCTGGTTGAAGCATGTTTTCACAAATAGACTCAAGCTAAATGAATAGAGACTGTACTATACAGAATTGCATATACGGATTTGTCTGGACATAAAGCTTCCTCTTTTTTCTTCTTTTTTATCTAATTGTCAAAGCCTTTTTGTGTGTGTGTGTTTGTTTGTTTTTTATACTTTATAGTCTTTTGGACCTGCTGCTTGTGTTGGGTGAAATTTAAGGATGCTCTTGGGAGGATTTTTTTTTCTTAACCAGTGCTAGTGCAGCATATTGAAAGTCAAATGGCTCATGATCAGAGAGAGAGATGGACAGGAACATGTAATAAGCTACTCTCTTCTCTCCAAACCCATTCTGCACCGCCCCTGTGAGCAGCAGGGCAGCCCCCCAGAGCAGGGCCTGAGGAAACACATGAATGTGGCACAGGCTCAGACTGGGGCTGGCTCACTTGCCAGAACAATCAGCAGCACTGCAGCAGTTATTAAAACCAAGTGCCTCCAGTGTAAAGCTGGTACAAACAAAAATAGAATGGATTCCCGGGGAGGTACCTGGAGCTGAAATCCAGGACTCTGAATGGGAATTCCTAAAGACAACTCTATCCTGAACTGCCTGGGATTCACTTAAACCTTCTCATTGTCACAGACCAAATCTTACCTATCACTCCTGGTTGGAACAAAGGCTGGAACCAAACAAGGTTCAGAATAACACCTCTGGGTGTTCCTTCCCACTGCAGGAAAACAGCCACAGTAGCCAGAGCAAAACTTTTCAGCTTTAAATGTATCAGGAATTTGTACCCAGATGGAAGTTTGTTTGTGGTAACCAGGGTAATAGGTGTCAACACACCACAGCCAGTGCCTACCCAGGTCCTGTTTACACATGGCAGCAGATCGAGCAGTTGCTGTTATTTACTCACCTTTGGTGTTTCAGGTGATAGCAGGGCTAGACAAAGCAGGACAGTGCTACCTGTCCCCAGCCCACAGGGCTGCCCTGGCAACAGGCGAGCCCTCACCTGCCCTCTGTGACAGCATTCCAGTCCTGCAGCACTGCTTGTTCCCAGCCCCAGAGCACAGGGATGGGTGGGTGGGTGGGGAAAGGGTGACCTAAACAAGCACTGCAGATGAAACAGTGGCTGCCAGCTCCACATGAGCTGGGTGAGCCATGAGCTGTTTGGCAGCGAGGCAGCCGCAGCCTCTGCACGTGTCAGCAGCGTTTGGTTTGGGAGGGATGGGGTACATGGGGTACATGCATCCAGCAGTGTGTGCATTTGTGGGCTGGCCCTGCTGTGCAGTGGCCACACATTTAGCCAGCACCCTGCATTTGCCTGCATAGATAGAGGTGGCTTGGTGGGATGGTGAAGCTGTGTATGGTTTTACCAACATGTGGACTCATTTCTGCATGTGTACATCCCTGGGGTTTATGTTGTGCATTTATAGATAGCAGGTGCAGAAAGCACTGGCCTGTTTTAAGGGCTGTGAATGTTTCTGAAGAAACATGATAGATGTTTCCAGTGTATGTTTCTGTGTGTATAATTATATAAGTGTGTATGACTGGGGAGAGAGAGGTGAAACATATATAAGTGAAGGTGGATGGCTGTAGATAGATAAGTAAAAAAGTGAGCCTGTCTGTAGGTCTCTACCTCTGTGCATTTGGCCAAGGGAGGATGGGATCCTGCTCACTGATGTAGCTGTGTTTGAACCATGACAAACCTCTGTTTATCAGCTATACGGTGTGGCTGTTTGGGATTGTCCCTTCATGGTTTGTGCTCGCCTGGCATGCGTGGCTGTGGCCACGAGGAGCAGAACGTGTGAGGTGCTCTATGCCAGAGCCCATAGGAATTGCTTGTTGTTCAGTAGCTGCCCCTATTACACAACAGCTTTGGAGTGGCAATAAACACTTCTGGCTCATTCCTGTCTAACCAGAACACACACACTGTCCAGAGCTAGAGTTGATAGGAGACTGCTTTTCTGAGAGCACAGTTAGAGGGGGGGGAAAAAAGAACTTTTCACTTCTAATCTAATTATGAGCATGTATTTTGATTGCAGCTTCTGTGATACAGCTACATGTCCTGGTTTTGTTCTTGTTGTAAAAGAAAAGGCACTAGCTAAGACTGAAGAGCATTAGGCACTACCAGATGTAATGGCAATGTTCCTTCCTTTATAACAGCACAAAGAGGGATGGGACTAGGCTGAGGTCTTAGATCTCTGTACACTGTAATCCTCTCTTGCAGTTGTTCAGCAGGCAGTAGATTGTGAGTTTGGTTTTTTTTCATTCAAGACTGTTCCTGAATAACCCATGACCACTGATAATGTTCTTTCCAATCATCTTCCTGCTGGTGCTGCTCCCTCTCAGAACCTTCATGTGCAACATAAACGTGGGTTCTGTGTCTGCAGGTTGCAAATACAACCAGGTGAACAGCCACTTCCACTGCATCCGAGAGGGCTGCCAGTTCTCCTTCCTGCTCAAGCACCAAATGACATCCCATGCCAGGAAGCACATGAGGAGGATGCTGGGGAAGAACTTTGATCGTGTTCCTACTCAGGTAACGCCTTGTTGTTGAAGCTGTAGGTGCACAGGCAGTGTTGGCCCCTTTGGCTGCAGAGCTGATGCAGTGCCAAGGACACTTGTGCCCAGGCTCTGAGGGATGTGTGTCTGCACTGGGGGATGCTACAGGGCAGAGGGAGTACACACAAGGTAGCTTTACCTGGCTGAACTTACACAAGATGAGTAAAGATGATGAAGCATTGATTGCAAAGCATTGCTTAGTGCAAACAGTTTTTCCTTGTGAATTTTGCAGAAAAATATTGAGAAGGATAACTCTAAAATACTCATACTTACAACTTGCAGTCTCTCCCAGCTCTTTCAATATATACAATTGGCTTATTAAAATTAACGTGCTTAGGATATGGAGGAATTGAATGTGCTGGTTAAAGCAGATATTTCCTGTTACATATAAAGAATTTACCTAGGATGGAAGAAAAACCAATCTTGACATTTCTCTTCCCTTATTGATGTGGATTTAGTTGGGGCATTCCCTCTCCTCTCTCAGGAAGCAGCAGAGTGATGCAATTGCTGCTTTACTGAGACAGAGAGGAGCTGGCAGATTAGGTCTGGAATGGAAGAGTTTCAGCTGCAGCACTGAGCTGCTGCTCCAAAAGGACAGCATCCCTGCCACCTCTCACTTGTTCTTATTCTTTAGTTGTTTCATCTGCTATTGACTTGGTAGATGAAACAAGCTGTCTTTATTTAAATGCCTGTGGCTGATCTGACCCTAAGAACATCATCTGGTATATGGGAATCAAAAGAGACCATCTGTAGAAGCAAGATGAGAACCCTCTTTCATTCCACAACATGGGAATAAGAGGTCCCTGTTAGTTATTAACTACTGTCAATAAGTGAACTGTTCAAGTTTAGTGCTGTTGGATTTAATGAGTTCACAGATGCTAAGGAACTGGTGTTGCTGTTGTGGCAGCTTTTGGTCTCTAATAAAAAGTTTAGGAACTTAGAAGATTTAACAAAAAATTTGTCTTCACTACTCTTCTAGCACATGGTGAGCCTAACCCTAGGAATTTTAGTGCACACTGGGCAGAAGATGCTGTGTTTAACCTCCATCTTTCAGGGGCTCAGCACTGAGCTCAGGCATGGTTCCAGCATCTGACTGCAGCAGGACCCACGGGGTGAGGGGGCAATGCCAACATTAACACCTCCTCTTTGGGAACACATCAGAATCCACACACCAGGATGCTGGTGCCAAGATTAACACCCCCAGCTCCCGAGTGCAGCACAATTCACATACCAGGGTGCATGTGCCAGGTTTAATGCTCCTGGCCCCAGTGCCACGGGTTCCACTCACAAGCACGTGCCAGCTGTCCCCCATGAGCTGTGGCAGAGGGAGATAAACGTGCAGACAGATGGTTTTGGGCCTGGTATCTCGCTTTTGGTGTGAAAGTCCCCGTCTCGTTTTCCTGCTGCAGGTTATTGGCCACACTCCAAGAAATGAAAATCTCCCCCAGGTTGGCAGCATGGCACCCAGCCCAGCCTCATCAGGAACCCCAGCTTCCTTTCAGGGACCCCCAAGCATGATGGACACTGAAACAGAAGAGTACATGGATTACACTGGCTGTAGCCCTGGGGGCATCTCCTCTGAATCTTCCAACATGGACCGCAGCTGCTCCAGCACTCCAGTGGGCAATGAAAGTACATCAGCAGGTAAGGGAGAAGGGTGTGTGTGAAATGGATCCTCAGTTGCCTGCTCTCCTGGGAGATAAACTCATACAAAGAGGCCAAGGGACAGTTGCACCTTAAAGTACACACTGTGCCAAGTTCAGTAGTGCCTCACACTAACCCAGCTCTCTCCAGCACCTGAGAGAAGAGGTCCATCAAAATATACACCTCAAGCATCCAGGAACTTAGCAGCATACCTTTTTCCTCCCATTAAGAGAGGTTTTTATCCTGGGTCTTGGAGTTGGGTATATTTTAATAGTTTACTTAAAAAAAAAAAAATGAAAAAAAGAGCTGTGGGCCCCTTCTGTACTTGGAATTTTCTTTGGTACCTCTTTGTATTTCCTCAAGCAGCATCCAAAGTCAGGCACTTTATTGTACTGGTGAAGTACAGCAGCAGATTGACATACACAGGGGATAAAACCTGTCACATCTTTAGAAAGCAACATCTAAAAGCAGCTCACTGAGCTCCCTTCCTCACCCAAAAACTCTTGTTCCACTTGGTGCAGTTGCACAGAGCAGTCCCCCTTCATCCCCTCTTTTGGAAAGTAAATTCCTGCCCTGTTTGCCAGGATCATGCAGAGCCATCTCCCCCTGCCCTGCATTACAGGGTCAACTCTTCAGGAGTCAGATACCTGGTAGGAATTCTGCCATCATAAAGTGATGACCAGGGGTCTCTCAGCTGTACCTTCCCAGGGTTTAGTGGGATATTCTGCACAGGCTGCCTCAGTTTGCTTTAATTCCATACACATTTTCCTAGTTTTCTTTCTCCCCCCCAGTTAAAGGGCACCGCAGCAGTCAGGTTGTAGGAGCACTGCTGGGTCATGGCCCTGGCCCCACGACATTGTGGCACCTCCAGAGGGTTCTGGTGGGGCACTGGTTCCTGGCACACTCCTCTGTGCCAGCAGTGGCCCAAGTGCTAGGAAATGCCCCCCCCTGCTCTCCAGGTAGGGAGCAGCTCCACCTGCCCCAAGTGCCAGAGCACCCTTACAGCTGGGAACTGAAGCAGGCAGCAGCCCTATAGATGAACAAGGACCAGAATGACCAAATGAGTCCAGAATTCCTGCCTGAAAGCCTGTGTCTCTTCTCCCATACCATAAAGCCACCTCACCTCCTGCAGAGACTGCAGAGACAACTCTCCTCTTCCTGGTGCTGTCAATTCCTCACCTTCTGTTTCTTCTCTGTTGCAGTTCTGTTTCATACATTTGTGAATGTATTTTCCATTTTCATCATATTGCTTCTGCTCTTGGGTTCTCATTTCATTTCTTTTGTTTCTTGTTTTGTTGGTTTTTTTGGGTTTTTTTGTTCGGTTTTGTTTTGTTTTATTGTTTTTTCTTTTCTTTTCTTTTCTTTTTTTTTTTTTTCCTTTTTTTTTCTGCTTTTTTTTTTTCTCTCCACATTCTCCAGGCTGCCTGGTTCCTTCTACGGCTACTGCTGCTGCCGATGATGCAACCCACACTGCACCACAACCTCCACCACCATCTCTGCCTCCATCTTTCTCACAAGCCCTGCTTAGGTCTCCCCTCCCCACCCTCCCCTATCTCTTCTCTCCATCTTGTCTCTCGTACTCCCTGCTCAGTGCCACTCTGGGAGCCAGCAGAGGCATTGTCATGCCTGCCGCCAGCACCGCTGGGTTCTCGCCCATCATTGCCACTCCAACTCCAGTAAAAAGTGACGTTCCCTTAGTGCAGGATGCAGCAGGTAACACTTCTTTGCTTTCTCTCCATGTCCTGTGCCCAGCTCTGCCCCCACTCACCCTGCCCATGGTTTTGCTCTGCACCTTTGGGTGGGTAGAGCAGCAAAGGTCACTCTGTGCCTTGGCAAATGTTACCCCAGGGCCCATCCATGCCTGCTCCTTTTCCTTGCTGACACAGTAACCACAGCCAAGGGGAAACAAACCACAGCAAATCCTTCATAGGCATTTGGATGAATAACTGAGAGCAATTGCCACCAATTCCTAACTATGAGAAAAACCTAACAAAACCCACAGTTAACGTGCATTTTCAAGTGTCTTGGTAACCTCAAAGTGGCCACAGAGCAAACTTCTGCTCATGTGGGATTAATGGGACTTGGACTTCCTGGTTAGACCTTCCAGGCCACCCAAGCCAGTGCCTGCCATAGTGTGCTGCACAGGTGAATGTCTGATGAGGTACCCAGGTCCTGTGTTTCAATTGATCTTGCACACTTCATATGAAGCCACAAAGCTCAGGGGTGCCTTCCCAGGATGAGGAGTGAAGCACGGGCAGTGTCACATGATGACATTATCAGACAGGTTGAGCTGTTTCTCACACTCGTTATTTATCAAGGCTCTAATCAGTTGCAGAAAATGCAGATAGATTTCAGTTTTAGGCTGCCATGATTCCCATGTGTGACTAAGATCAGAGATGTCTCAGGCTGGGTATTCTCATTCCATCTGGGAATGGCTTTTAGGGTGTGTCTCATTTTTGGCTTCTTTTCTCAACTCCTAGCTCTTTTCTAGTTAATTAAGGACATCTTTGTGCTTAAAGTTCACACTTATGAGGCTTCTGGCAGCCTTCAAATGTCCCAGTCATTCTTCCTGCCAGCCTCAGTAATGTGTAAATCCAAGGTCAAAGGTTGGGAGTATGGCTGGAGGACCAACTTCACAGGTTTCCCACTCCATAGGTTTTTCTCAAGAGACTTGGCAGGAGAAGGATCCCTGCCTTGTCCAGATGAGTGTGTGCCAATTAACAAAATTCACAAGAAACTCTATCTTTGCTTCTTTTTTAACTGAACTGCATGCAGCCTGAAACATTTTTAACCTTGTGCTGTGCTTCCTCTAATCAAATATTTTTAAGTGTCTTTTGTCTTTACCTTGGTATAGTTTGGTGAATGCTGACATTATTGGTGGTTAAAGAAAGAAGCTTATGGAAAACATTGAGATTTGGTGAGGATCACACCCATTGAGGCTTGTAACCTTTCACAGGGTGCAGGGACTGAACTTTGGCAAAAGAAGAGAGTGCACCAAGGTGTCATCTCTCTTCATTATGCCCTTACTCCAAAACTTTACCTGGATGAGAAAACCGAATTGGTTTTCAACTAAAGTTTTAAGCACATCCGTTTGAACTATTTTAAAAGCTGTGTAAATACAGAGTTTTAAACAGGTAAAATTTAAATTCTATTTATTTCCCATCCAGAGTCTTTTCTTTAAGATGGGTTATCCCATATTCCCATCCAAAGACAGACAATATGAGCGTTAATTAAGTATTGCTAAGGAACTTGATGGTTTGGCTGTAATTTTATTAAACAGAATTAATCTGGACAGCAGTGACTTGTCTAGGCACCACTGCACTTACATGAGTTGGCTGGAAGTGGAGAACTGGATTTTCAATTCCAGATGTTTAGGGGGGAGCAGAGAGCAAATTGGTCACAGATTCTGTAGTTAAGAGCCTGCCAATTTCAAATCTCCAGTGACAGAAAGTTATTCTTTCACTGGTAGCTGGTTAAATCAGCCTTAGCGTGCAGTTCCCACCGTGTCACTCAGGTGGTCTCACCATGGATGCCCTGAGCTGGGGTCCTGAGTCTGAGCACAAGAGCCAGTCACAAATGGTGTAGAAAAACCTTTTGTTCTTTGCTTATCCCACAAACTGTACGGCCCAGCCACGTGGGAGAGGAGGTTCCTGCCACCGCTCCATTGGGAGTGTGGGAGTTTCCCTTCAGTGGTCACCACCTTCTCCTGAAGGGTGTCACTGAGGAGTTGGCACCTCTAACTCCTGTGCACCTGCCAGAAAGGAAGTAATGCTACACATTGACTGTCCCTTCAGCCTCCCAGACCAGGATGGAAACTGCTCTGGGTTCTTGGGCCCCATGCCCTGTGTGTCACAAGCTGGGCCTCTTTTAAAAAGATGGCAGTTTCAGCAGGGAGAGAGTAAAAAAAAAAAAAAGTATGTGTTGGTTGCAAGCTATAATTTCTAATTACACTCACAGTTCTGCACCTGGTGAGAAATTCTTGCCTCCAACCTTGTCTGTGCTGCATGTTGATACTGGAGATTGTGGGTTGATTCTGGAAACAGCAAGCAGAGAAGAAGAAAGTTAGTAGATAGATTGAGGTCACGTCTTTGATGTCAGTGTGATCCTGGGGGACATGAGCACTAGCCAGTTATGCTGGCCCTGTGAATCAAAGTGGAAGATAGATGAGGGATCTTTATTTATACTAGGGGCATAGTGGAATTTTTGAGACCCAAGGGAATGTTGCAGAGCTGGTATTTTCTCTCAGAGTCCACTGGCTAGTGATGATGAGAATTAGCCCCATTGAACATCTGTCCATCTGTCTTTCTAAGTGCACTCATTGTAATATGTAGGCTCATTACAGTGAGGGATGTTGCAGTCTCCTGGCCAAAGTCCATCCTGTTTCTATAAATTTCCACAGCCCCCCCGCTGCAGTTTTAATCACGCATGGGATCTTCCTTCACTTCCTGCCTGTCCTTGGCAATTGTAGTGTATTACAAGAGCCTGGGTAGGGGAAAACAGTGCACACGTACAAGCTTTTAGCACACTGCAGCTCTTTTTACCACCCCAGTGAACTACAGTAACACACCTCAGTCCTTGGACTGGAACAAGCTAGCTCCTCCCTGTTCTGATTTGAGAAAAAAGGGACTAGAGATTAGGTTAAGCAGCAAGAGAAACTGTGAAAGTAGCAAACCAGAGAAGCAACTGTTAACATTTGTACAAGATCAGGTTTGCCAGAGCAGCAATCAGAGACAAGGCAGGATATGCTGAAAATTGAGGAAGTGATGTCCAGCAGGCATCAGCGAGCCCACAGTGCTGGAGCTGGGGCTCGCTGAGAGCTCGAGGGACGAGCTGGGGTGGGAACAGTTGCAGCTTTGTGTCTTGGCAAACACAGAGCTTGCCAGGACGGCTGGGAGATGGAGAGACCTGGCTGTCAGCAACACCGCCCTGCGCTTTCTCTCCTCAGGGAACACCATCACTATGCCAACTGCCTCGGGGGCCAAAAAGCGTTTCTGGATTATTGAGGACATGTCCCCATTTGGCAAGCGCCGCAAGACCGCGTCCTCACGCAAGATGCTGGATGAAGGGATGATGCTGGAGGGATTTCGGCGCTATGACCTCTACGAGGACTGCAAGGACTCCAGCTGCCAGTTCTCTCTCAAGGTTACCCACTACCACTGCACACGGGAGAACTGTGGCTACAAGTTCTGCGGCCGTACCCATATGTATAAGCATGCCCAGCACCACGACCGTGTTGACAACCTAGTATTGGATGATTTCAAACGCTTCAAGTCTTCACTGAGTTGTAACTTCCCAGACTGTCAGTTCTCTGGCAATAGCACACACTTCCACTGTCTGCGCTGCGGCTTCCGCTGCACTGACAGCACCAAGGTGACGGCGCACCGCAAGCACCACGGCAAGCAGGACGTCATCAGCGCCGCCGGCTTCTGCCAGTTCAGCTCCAGCGTGGACTGCGAGGTGCCTGACTGCAAGTACAAACTCAAATGCTCCCACTTCCACTGCACCTACCCCGGCTGCAAGCACACGGTGGTGGGGATGTCTCAGATGGACTCTCACAAGCGCAAACACGAGAAGCAGGAGCGAGGGGAGCTGCCTGCCATCTCTCCCGGCCCCGAGGGCCTCGCCCACTCCACTCTTGAGTACGATATCCAGAACTCTTCCATCAACCTGGACAGCTCGCTCAACCTCAGCACTGACAACAACAGCTCCCTCTTCTTCCTGCAGAACGCAGCTGGCGTGGGCCTCAATGACTCCCTGGACCTCAGCAAGAAGCAGGCAGAGGCCACCGAGGGCCCGTCCCCAAGCAGAGCCGGGGCCGCGCCCCCGGAGAGGAGCACAGGGGCACCGGGCTCCGGGGACGTGGAGGACGAGGACGACTCTTCCCAAGAGGATGAAGAGGACGATGAGGAGGAGATGAATGAAGAGGAGGAGGATGATGAAGAGGAGGATGACGATGATGATGATGAGGAGGATGAGGAGGAGGAAGACCTGAACACAGATTCTGAAGAATCGCTGCCGGACCCTGAAGGCCTGGCCGCTAAAGAAGATGGAGAACCAGAGGAGGGTGCTTCTTCCACAGACCATGGCGATGCTTCCAGGCCTCAGGGCGAGCCAGCCCTCACTCCAGCCCCAGCTCCTGCCCCCGCTCCAGCTCCGGCTGCTGCCTCAGCCTCCACCGTTGCTCCAGAAGCTTCTCCTTAATCCTAGAGACAGCAACGGCAGTGGTTTGGTTTTTCTCTTACACAGATTTACTAAGAGGACCCCGTATAAGGCAAGAACAAAGATGGGGATGGCAAATGAAAAACGAACTCCGTGCCACAGATGAGAGAGAGGAAGGAAGGAAACCCCTGCTCCTCCCCAGGCCCCAGAAGAGATCAGTTGGCAGCAGGACTGGTGCTGCATCACTCCATTCTACAGATCCTGGAACAAGGGGGCAGGATGCAGCAAAAAAATACCCTTTATATGGACACGAACCCTGAGGGTACCCACTACTTTTCCTTGCTCCCTGCACGGTGCGTGGGGCCTGTGCCCATCTGGGGACCCTTTTTTATGGGTGGGGCTCTATCCCCCCAATTTTCTTTCTGGGTTTTATTTTTCCATGTTTTCAGTTGTACGATAATAATAATAATCTCCACTTCTTGGAGGGGGGTGGGTGGGAACAAGAGGTAATGAATTTTAGAAATATATATTTGTGTGTGTGTCTCTCTATATAATGTACACACACACACACATATATAAAATTAAAGGAATTGGTGTCACAAAGACAAGTAGCTCAGCTTTTGCCAGTGGGAAGGAGGGGGTGAGGAGTGTGCTCTCTCTCTCTCTCTCTCTCCACCCTTCCCCCTTCTTTCTCCAGCATTAAATGGCATCAGACAGCCAGGGTGGGAGTGGGTATTTATTGTCACATAAATGAGGATGCATTAATGAATGAGTAGGGGTGGGAATGGGACACTCCTCTGTTCTTCCAGATCCTTTTTACTGTTAATGATAATAATTTTGAATGCTATTTATATTGTAAAACTTTCTCAGTCTACACTTTCTCTGTAGGACACCTCTCCTCATCCCTGCTGTTCTGACTGTAGGGATTTAGCTGAAGTAACCTGGGAAGAACACAGCAGGCAGTTTAAAGGGTCTGTCTCACTGGAGGACTGGGGTTACTCTGCCATCCAGTCAGTTCCATCTCATCCCAACCCCTAGGTGCTTCCTCTCTGCGGAGGTGAGGCGTTTTTGTGGTGCTTCAGTATCCCCATCTCAGGAGGCTGTGAGCTGCCCCTGCCCCATGTGTGCAGCACAGGGAGCACCAAGCTCGCACAGGAGCGTCCTGGTCACTGCAGCAGCCTCGGGACAGGGCCCTGCTGTGCCCCGGGCAGTGGGAGCAGGACGGTCCCCGGCAGCCCTGCTGCACCAGGCCGGGGTGTGACAGACACGGATCTCAGGTGACAGTGGCAGGGACAGCCCTGCCCCGAGCAGGACCCAGGACCCAGTGCCTGGCGCTGCCTCCTGCAGGGCCAGACCCCGCTGGAACCCGGCCCTGGGGCGCTGCTGCGGCCCCCCGAGCTCCCCCTCACTGCAGGAGCAATCGCTGCCCCCTCCAGCAGCCCGGGCTCTCCCCTGGCTCCAGGCTCTTCCCTGCTCTCTTCTCCTGGCCTGGCCTGGGAACACACACTACAGGACACTGCCCCGACCTGGCAGGTGCCACAGGAGCTGTTTGACCCCAAATCCTTGCCTGAGCCTGAAAGGGCTTGTCTGCACACACCAGGGCACCAGAAGGACTAGTATGAATTAATTCTGATCGTTATTTTGGTGCCAGTTTTAAAGTATACCAGATTAGTCTGAGCTTTGTCCTTTTTTAAAAAAAAATAAAAATGCTTTTTTTTAATACCATGCAGGCACCCTCTCCCCTCCTCAGCTCCATGAGCACTTCAGCTCTAAGGGATCCCCAGGATTTGTTTTCTCTCTGAACAGATAAAGGCCTCAAGAAATTTAGGTTGCTTTTTTTTTTTTGGTTATTTCCCTAAGGAACTGGTGCAGATCAGGTCTGATTTATAAACAAGCAGCTCAGCTGTGTAAATGTGGGGACAGAATGTTCAGCTAATGTTTCAAAAGGAAAGGAAAAAAAAAAGTTGTACAGTATTTTTCCTGTAAAGGTTATTACTATATATAGAACAAAAGAGAAACCACCAATGCCAAGGGGTGGAGGGGGAGGTGTCACCTGCCTTCTGGATAGCCCTTACATATGGTTAATTGTGTGCAATTTTTTTTCTCTTTTTTTTTTCTCTCTTTTTTTTTTTCCCTTTTTTTTTTTTTTTCTCTCTTTCAATGTAGTGTATGTTTGTAGGGGTGGCAGGGGAGGGGGGGCCTTAATGCTGTGGTTTGAGGCTGACTTCACACTCCCAGCACTGACCGGACCTGCACGATTCCGAACTCTAACTTGAATTTTGTAGAGATGAAACAAATGAAAACAAATGAAATATTATCACTAGTTTGTAGTTTATTTAATTCTTTGGAGTTCTTTTCCTCTATCAGCTATTTGTGTGGCTTTTATTTTTATAGGGGGTTTTTTTGTTGTTTGTTTGTTTTTGTTTTGTTTGGTATATCCCCTACCCTCAGCTGTGTGTTTCCTAGCACAACCCCATTCTTGAATAGAATGAAGCTCATGTTCCTGGGGCAGAGTGATGGAACGATGCCCTGGAATTTCTCAAAATGGGATGGGGCAAAAAGATTTTACTTTACTAGCATTTGCTGCAGGTTCTGTACTTGTACATTTTTCCCTGTGTTCAGCTACTTAGATAGTATGGTGATGGGCTCCAGGAGGAATCCTTAGATTAACACAAGCCACATCTCGCAAAGCAGATGTGATTATTTTGTACCGCCAAAACCACCAGGATCTCTGTCAGTGACTGTGGGAGCAGGACTGAGCCCTCCTGGAGGGCTCCCTGGGCCGCTGTGTCCCTGCCCCGGGAGTGGAGCCTGCCCTGGGACACAGGGCCTCAGCAGCCTCCAGGGCTGAGTCACTGCACAGCAGTGGGGAAGCAGCAGCGTGTGCAGGAAGGGGTAAGAGATGTGCAGTGGCTCTGGCCGTGCTGGGCAGGACTCCCCAGCCCGGACGGGTCCTCCCCGTGGGGCTGAGTGTGCCAGAAGGGCCCATGTTTATCTATGCACACCATTTTCTCCCCCCAGGCCCCCTCCTTCTCCCTGACATCTCAGCCCTTCTCCCAGACTCTGTCACCTCTTGTGTCACCTCAGGAGCTGGGCAGGGAATGAGGGTCCTTTCCCAAGGGGCTGCTGCTGAAGGTGGCCCTGGGCTGGCCCCGTCCTCCTCCCAGCCCTGTTCCTGTAACTCGTACACTGTCTCTGTTTGCAACAACAACAAAAGAAAGTTGAACCCAACTTTTTATTCTGCCATGTTCAGGCTTTAATTCAGCAAAACCCTTAAGCAGAAGACTCTGAGTGGGCCCAGGTTTAAGGCCGAGCTTAAGTGCTTTTCTGAACAAGGGCCTCAACAGCCCAACACCCCATCAGAGCAGGTGGTTTGTCATTCCAAGCTCTCATATCAATGGGACTGTCTAAAGAATGACCAGAGAAAGAGAGGGAGATTCAACTGGCTCTATAAGAAGAGGAAAGAGGAGAGAGGAAATGGAACTGTTTTGTCCAAAACAAGATAAAAACCAAACAATAATAAACCTTGAGATGGACCCTCCTGATTCTGCTACCATTCACTGCTGAAGAGCAAAAAAATTAAATAAAAACTATTGACTAGATTGTTCATTCTAGCCACAAACTCAACTGGATTAAAGTCTGCGTGGAAGGAATTTTATAAAGAAAAAAAAAATTTAAAAAAAATTTTCCAATGTAGCAAAAAAAAAAACAACTTTAAAAAACAAAAATTTAAAAAAAAGACAATGAGGGAGGATTCTAGCCTTTTGTAATATCCATATTGCACACTAGGACTATAAGCCATTGCTAGCTCATTTTGAATTTTAAATGTGTAATTTTATTTTGTTTTGTTGTTGTTTTTTTCTTTCCATGGGGGAGGGGGGAAAATAAATGCTTGAACCACCAATGCTCTTTTTAATGTTTTATAAATATGTATGTGTATATATATAAATATAAAAATAATATGTATGCACATATATATGTGTGTGTGTATATATCTATATGTATATACATATATATAGATATATAGATATATATATAGGTTTTGAGACAAAAATGCAGAAAGTGAAAAAAAACACCCTAAACAGGATGGTGTGCTCTGATTTACTTGAATCTGGTCTCTTCAGCACCTGCGTTATTAAGAACTGAATATTTTTCCACTTGAATTTAGTGCTATTAGAAATTTAATATATGTGTTTTATTTATTTGATTTTTTTTTTTTTTTTGCATGACTGATGCAAGGTTTGACATTTTCACTCAATAAAAACTGGAAAAAAAAACCCCAAAGTTGTAAGTGATCAAGTTGTCTTCTTGCTTGAGGAGGTGGTTGAATGCCTAAGCAGGCCAGGCACCCTGCAGTACCTCGTGCCTGCTGAGGTGCACGTGGAAATGTTCAAATGTTCCTGTTTCACCCTGCCCGTGTGGCTGCAACTTCCCCAGCCCCCTGGAAGCAGCAAAGCAGCGCCTGCCAAGCCTGGTGCATTGGCAGCAGCTGCCTCCTTATTAGCAGAGAGGATTAGACTCCTCTCTCTTTCAAAGCCCCCTCGTTGCTCTGCTGCAGCTCCCAGCCATCCTGTTTTCAGATGTCATTATCTGAACATGCTCCTAATCCAACCTTGGAGCCCAGAGGTTTGTTCTCACTGGAGCTCTGCCCACAGCACATGGAATATTTAAATGGCCTTGTTTCCAGGTGGGGACAGGGGACGTGAACAACACAATTCATTGCTGGAAAGCTTTTGCTGGAACCTGTCTTTTCTCAGTGGGACTCTGACTGGACTTCATAAAAGAATGGCTGAGCTGTGGGAGAAGCTGCAAGTTGAACAAATCAAAGTCCCACGACTGCATTTGTTCCAGGTGGTGATAGTGCAGTTATGCACCCACAGCCCTGCACCCACAGCCCTGCACCCACTGCCCTGCCCCTGGGGAGCCCCGGGAAGCAGCAGACACCAGGCAAGGCCACTTGTTCTAATGTCCAGACGAAAACGGGGCAGTTGCTGCTGCTATTGTACTTGTAATAGCCTTTAAGTCATCTGTGGCAGACACTG